AAAAACAGGATGTGAGGACCATCTGGCTGCGACATCTGTCACCCCACTGATCGCCAGGGTTGATTTGGATGATCTGGCTAGCTAGGCGGGTGTCCCCCTCTTCCCTCAACCGATCCATGTGCGTCCCTCCCAGAGTTGTGCGCTCGGTCGGTCGAAGAGGACGACCTTCCCTCCAGAGGAGAGGACCGGTCTTCGGTCAAGGGTATATAATTAGCTGTGCTCCCCTGCTAGGGCCTCCAAACAAGCTCTCAAGGTCCATTTGTAGGAGAACGTAGGGTAGTCAAGCTTCCAAGACTCCAGACACATCCAAATGAGGCACTGCATGGCAGTCTGCCTTTCTTTAAAAAAAACAAAAAAAAACAAAAAACAGAAGTAATACAGGTCCTAGGCCACCAAAGGAAGCTAAGGAACACAATAGAATCCTGCCTAACTCCTCTTCCAGGACAGCCCCACACCCACTGTCCAGCCAATGTCAGTATAAAGTGGTAGTGACTGAGCCATGTCTACAGCCTTGGTTCCTTGGTGACCTGAGCATGTTGGGGTTTTGTTTTAATTAGCAACTTGGTTCTCCTTGGCTTTCTTGTGAAATGCAGGTGCTTTCTGATAATCATGTTAATTTTCATTCCTTTTGGCCCACACTGTCCATTCACTGGGTGCTGCCTGGGCAACAGGGTGCCTTGCTCCTCCTGGTTGGCAGGCTCGGGGCTGTGCAGGCTTGTTCTCTGCTTTGACTGAGAGTATCCAGCTCAGGGAGGGTCTGGCCAAGCCTGCTTTATGGCACAGGGGTCCTGAATGGGATGTTGATAATCCTGGTTCCCACCTGTTTGCCTTTGTACCCCAGATTGTTTCCCTGTCTTTTGATCTCCATGGCTCCCACCTCTCACAGCATCTCACCCTATCCTCCCAAACAGCAGCTACATGTCATAAGGGCCTCCCTACTGTCCCCTCATACTAATTAAGGTATTTTCATTAACAAGCTTTAAAAGGAGTCTCTAAAATGAGTTGTGGTGCCAGCTGGTCAAATTAATTTTCCCTATCCTCTATGATACAATAATGAATGACATACTGTCTCTCATCAGTGGAAGGTCAGCATCTGGGGGAAGACAAGAGTGTAGACAAATAATTACATTATAGTGAAAGTAACCTGACTTTCTGAGGCAAAACTGCAGTGACAAACACCCTGCCAGTCAGCGTCCTGACAAAAGGAAATGCATGCTGGTCATGGCACTTTGGCTGCAGCATCTGCACAAGCAAGTGGAAGTAAATCCACTTCCCTATCCAAGAGAGAGAACCAAATAGACAGGAACAGCACCATTGGCCACCAGTACTTAGGTACAGACTGGCTGTGGGCTCAGGAGGGGTGCATGAAAAAGTTAAAACTTGATCTTGGCCATGGAGCACAAAGAGGCAGTCCGAGCACAAAGTGAAAACTGAGGAAGGCAAAATGAAAACTGAGGAAGGCAGAGGAGGGAACTGGTAATCTCACCATAGGGGATGAAGGGGCTCCTGTGTATTTATTTCCTACTGCAGGGCTGGGGCCTCTGCTCAGGGTCTCCAAAGTGGCAATCCAGTTGTCTGTCGTCAGTGGGGCTTTGTCGCCTTTGAGGCTAGGCTAGGGCCTCTCCCAAGCTCACAGGTTGTAATTGGAATTCCCTTCCTGGCAGGCTGCTTGACCTGTGGCATCCTGCTTCTCTGTGGCCCACAGGAGAGCCTCTGTGACCTCAGGAGGACTCTACTCCCTCTTTTAAACAGCTCCCTCATTAGGCCAGACCTAACTTTTGATTAACTAAAGGTAACTCATTAGAGACTTTAATTCCATCCAGAAAATCCCTTAGCCTTTGTCATATAATATCATATAATCAATAGTGCAACCCCCTCACATCACAGATTCTACCTAAAAGGTCTAAGCCAGTGGGAGATCACATCCACAACACAAGACTACACGGGTGACGTTTCAGAGATGCTATGTCTAGAAAGTTGGGAAGGCCAACGTGTAGAAAAATGGCTTTATTGCATGCGCCTGGGTGCAGGCGGGCTGAGCCGAAAAGAGTTCAGCCTCGAATTAGGGTTGGGGTGTTGGTTATATATCCCATTTCTAGCTTCCCGCAGTTCCTGCTGACATACTCTGCAGGGCCCATTGTTCACTTTGCAGTAGGACTGGTCTGGTATCTCGTCCAGCATCTACTGGATTATCCATTGCCTTGTGGATAATCCAGATAAACCTTATCTGTACTCAACAAAAGGCTGAGCAAAGGTCATGCAAGCAACACAATTTCCACAGTTTCCGCCTTTTGCAAACTTTTACCTTTACCCTTTAAAACATTACTAACCCTGCCCTGGCCGGTTTGGCTCAGCGGTTAGAGCGTCGGCCTGCGGTCTGGAGAGACCCGGGTTCGGTTCCCGCTAAGGGCACGTACTTCGGTTGCAGTTTGTCCCCGGCCCTGGTTGGTCGTGCGGGTGGCAGCCACTCGTGTCCCTTCACGTCGATGTTTCTCTCACTCTCTCTCTCTCCCTCTCTCTCCCTCCCACTCTATCTGTGCAAAAAATGGAAAAATATCCTCGGGTGAGGATAAAAAAATAAATAAATAAAAATAAAACATTACTAACCCTTTCACTACCCACATCCAAGGGGAGAAGAGTGAGCCATTGGAGTCCTAATTGTTGGACATTCAGGTGACTTCTGATTTTTCACATGATATAAATCATGGTGCAGAAAACCTGCAACACACAAATTTTGGGGGGCATGTTTGTCTATGCCCTTATGATAAATCACTGCAAGTGAAAATGGTGAGGCTGAAGGGCCTGAAATGTTTTCAAGGCATTTGACAGATAAGTTTTTCAGAAAGGTACCAATTCACATTTCCCAGCTGCCCTGTGTTACAATGGCCCCCCTAACCCTGTGCTAGGGCCAGGAGTGATTATTTCTTTCCTCTTTGTTAATTTGATGATGGGTGAAAAATGTGTAAGTCTGTTATTGAACCATGAACTGAATCAAAGATTAAAACCTAGTGAGCCAGTCTGAATCAGAACAAAATCTGTATTTTCTAAAATGACTGAAGTGTAATATCAAAATAGCTTCTGAACTGAGACTCACCAAGTGTTTCAGTCCATTCAAGTTCCTAATTAGGCTAAAATGGGACCACATTGGAAACCTTGACCATGCCCTGACCTTGTTAACACCAACTACAATCCAATCCGTAGCCACAGCCCTACAGGAGCTTTACAGATGACAGTCCCCCTTAAACCAGCCAACTTTAACACAGGAAATTCAGAAACAAGAAGCAGGTGTGACACTCCAGGAGTCAGGTGGGTGGGCAGGTTCAGGCCCTGGGGTACCGTTCTTTCCTTCCTTCCCACTTTTCTCCACATGCAGCCCTGGGGCCACATTAGAACCTGAAAGGCCCTAAACCCTAAAAAGATGTAAACTGAACTTCCACTCTCCAATTTTCATTTTCTACCTAACATGACACTTCCACACTGGGCCCTTGTTAGCTCAGGATTAAAATACGTCAAGAAGCGACAGAAAATATATACATATATCAAATCATTATGTTGTACATCTGGCACTAATATACAGTAGTCTCCCCTTATGAGTGGTTTCAGTTAGCCAAGGCCAACTCTGGTCTGAAAATACTAAATAGAAAATTCCAGAAATAATTCATAAGATTTAAATTGTGCACTGTTTGAGTAGTGGGATGAATTTTCTCACTGCTTGTTCCATCCCCACATCCCCTCCAGGTGAATCATTCCATTGTTCTGTACACACTCCCAACCTTAGTCATTTAGCAGCCATTTTGGTTGTCAGAGGGACTCAAAGTGTTTGTGTTCAAGTCACCCTTATTTTGCTTAATAACAGCCCCAAAGGCTCTCACATAACTTTTATTACAGCATATTGTTATCATTACTCCATTTTATTATTGTTGTTAGTCTCTGACTGTAACTAATTTATAATTTAAACTTCATGTACCGTTGACCCTTGAACAACATCGGTTTGAACTGCACAGGTCCACTTATGCGTGGATTTTTTTCAATAAATACACTTGGCCCTTCACAGGCTTCATATCTGTGGGTTTCATATCAGTGAATTCAATCAACTGCAGATTAAAAACAGTATTTCCTCATTCTCAAGTGCAGATTTTTTTATTTTCTTCTGGTTGGCTTGCCAAAACTGTGGGGACTGAAAAATAATATTACTTCTCCTGCCACTGTATAAGTTCTTCTAGCTGGTCTAATCAAATTAACAGGGACAGATTAACAGAAGAAAATAAAATTTTAATACATACCTATGGGGTATTCACATAAGCATGAAAATTCCAAAGACAGTGAAGCAGCATTAGGTATGTGACATTTTGGACAAAGGAGAAAAAGGGAGGACAGGGTCTTAGATTTTAGAAGTGAGAGCGACTAACAGGTAATTGAGGAAGAACAGAACACACACGGCAGGTAAATTCTTACTAGACAACCCAGAAACAATGGAACAGGGGGTATCTAGCAAACAGGCCCCCCTCTGACGCCCTTCCATCCTCCACAATCAATACAAATTAGGCTGCTAAGGCAGACATCCTAAGATTTCCCTTCAGGAGCAGGTCTTTCCCTCTGAATCTCTGGGGCAGGAAGCGGGAGGATCAAAGGTTCCTTCTGAGTCTTGTTTCTTATTAATCAGCTTCAAATCGATATCCCAAAAGGCAGCTTCAGGGTGGCAAAGTTTGGGTTCCCTTCAATTCCAATCGCAGCTGTTTGAATCCAGAGATGCAAAAGGTCAAAAGTGGAGTCAAAGGTATGGGGGGAGGGGTATAGGAGGATTTTCCGGTGGCACAGGGTCTGCACCCCTCACACCCGCCTGGGTCAAGGGTCAACCGTATGGGAAAAAATTGTGTAGAGGGTTGGGCTCTCCCCACGGTTTCAGGCCTCAGTGGGGGGCCTTGGGACGCCCCCCATTGAGGAATGACTCACGTTCTAAGTTGATCTTATCTCACTTGAAATAAACTACCATTGACCCCGGACTCCAAGATGGCGTCAGTCGTACCATTGAAGGAGAAGAGACTCATGGATGTCAAAATAGGGGAGCTGCCAAGCTGGATACTGATGTGGGACTTCACCCCCAAAGGCACTGCTGGAGCATTTCAAAGAGGTTACTACAGGCATTACAACAAGTATATCAATGTGAAGAAAAGGAGCGTTGCTGAGGTTTCTATGGTGCTGGCAGCTTACGTGCTTTTCAACTACGGCCGTTCTTATGAGGAACTAAAACCTGAGCGAAGACGCAAGTACCCCTGAAGAGGGCCCAGTGTGGGCTCCACATTCCTGATCATGACCTTTGCCCAGACCTCTAATCCCTTTCATATTGTAATTAACACCTAATAAAAGATGGCTGGTTAAAAAAAAGAAAAGAAAAAAACTACCATTATAGTGAATAATCATATTAAAGAGGGTGGCAAGGGCCCTTTAGACTGCACAGCCCGGCGGGCTTCCAGGGTCCATGCAGGATCCCTACTTCCCCAGATACTGGACCAAGTAAGGGTATCTGGAACACGCACGACACCCTTTTGTGGGTGTGCGCGGACGCCCTGAACTTGAATTGTTTCAGCAGAGGCTCCTCAGGAACACGAGGCTCTGCAAAGTTCTGGAAGGTTTCCTCAGGGTCCGCGGGTCTGACTGGAAACAGCTGGCGCCCCGAGGCGGGTTCACAACGAGCCTTGGGCCAAAGCCCCTCACGAACTCGTGTAGGGAAGCGGCCGGGAAGATGGAGGCCGCCCGCCTGCCAGTCAGCCTCGCAAGCACACCCAAAGCTCCCACTCTGCGTCCACCCAGCGTCGTTCTCTCTGCCTCGCGCCCCAGTTTGTTCCCGCCTACCCGTGCCCGTCACTCAGTCTGCGCCCGCCCACCCCGCGCCCACCTATCAGTCAGCCCGCCTCGCGCGCCGCACGGCGGAAGGTGCGTGGCCAAGGCGCAGTCGTACGTGTCCCATTGGTCAGCTGGAGAGGAAACTCGGGGGGACCGCGAGACTGGTTCCGCCCCCAGCCCGCGGGGAGCGGCGGCGGCGGCGGAGGAGGAGGGGGTGGGGGCTGTGGAGGTGGTGAGCGCAGGCGTGGGCGACGGCGGCTTGGGCGGCGCGGGTGCCACCGCCGTTGGGCCACGGCGGCCTTCTCGCTCTGCACGCCGGGCTTGGAGACACCGCGCTAGGGAGGCCAGGCGTCTGGTGAGCCCGGCGGGCTGTACCTCTCGGTTCAGCCGAGGCCGGGGAATTAGGCGGCCGGGCCGGCGTGGGGAGGGGCAAACCCTGAAAGAGGCTTCTCGGGGTGTTGACCCGCGCTTCCGCAGGAATCTCCTCCCCTGCGTGAGCCGCTCCTCTGTTGAATGACTAACCTCCTCTGCTACCCGACCACTCTCTGCTGCGTGAGCCCCTCTTTGCTGCCTGAACCCACCACTCTTCTGCCCGCAACCCCTTCGTTGCCGCCCAAACCCCTTCCTATGTCTCCTGTACCCCCTCCTCTGCGTAAACCCTTCCTCTGTTGCTCGAATCCCCTCTTTTATTGCCTGAATCCCTTCTGCTGATTAAACCCATTTTCTGCTGCCTTAACCTCCTTCTAAACCTGAACCCCCACCTCTGCTGACTGACCGCCCTTCGCCTCTGTGGTGAACCCCTCCTTTGCACAGACCCCACCACCTCCTTCTCATTTGTGCTGACAGCCCAACCAGCTTTCCCATGGATGTAAGGAGCGTCTGCAGCTGTCCCGTCCTTCAGGGACATGGCGGCCAAAAGAGCAGGCCTTTCCCTCCGATTCTATTTTTTTGCTCTGTGGTCAACTGATAGCTACCCAAATGGGGGAGGGTTGTGAATTTTGTTTGTTTAAAATGCTTCCCTTGCTGAAGTCCCGAGGCGGCCTTCAACATAGAGATGATTTATTCAGGAGCCTTTAAAAAACAATCTAGATACAGCTTTTGGGGTGGGGATTTGGCTGTTTTATTTATGAAGGAAAAACAAAAAACAACCGATGCTTCCATGGGTACCTGGACCAGTTATCTCTATTTAGTATGGAGCATCTCCTGCAGGGTTAGAACCTGAGGATAAGCCCCCATAACCTTCAACCTTAAGGGTTGTGTCTGCGTTAAAATTGCCAGCAAACCACGTTAGAAACCACCCTGCAAATTTTGTTGCAGGGTCCTTCACACCAGACCTTCAAGCATCTTTTGCCAAATCTTTACCACTTGCCACATGAGTCCAAATCATGACGGACGCCAAGTATGTCCTCTGCAGATGGAAAGAGCGATTATGGCCTGCAAAGGTGACAGTGTTATTGTCTAATTTCAGGATTAGAAATTACCTTCTGGTGACAAGTAAAATCTTTATCAAGAGAGACCTAGGAGCCCAGCTGGTGTAGCTCACTAGTTGAGCATCAACCCATGCACCAAGAGGTCGCGCTGGTTCAATTCCCGGTCAGGGCACATGCCCAGGTTGTGGGGCCACTCCCCAGTGGGGCATGCAGGAGGTGGCCAATCAATGTTTCTCTCTCTCCTTTCCTCTCTAAAATCAATGAAGAAGAAGTATTTTTTAAAAAGAGAGCGAGAGACCTAGGAGTTGCTTCAGTGGAAAAATTGAGCCTGAACAGTTGCTGCTATTTCTTCTGGCACTGAATCTCATTCCCCATTTAATGGGATTTTGGTGAAGTGCTTACAAGGTTAAACTGCTGGAAATGTCTTTTTTTCACACGGAAAAAAAAAAATTTAACAGCTCTAAAAGACATGTATGGCTGTAACTCAAGGAAATTTCTGGCAGGGAGCCCTGTGATAGTAAATAATGGGAAGATCTGGGGAGACTTTCCAGCCAAGCCGTAGGAAGAGAGTTAATCTGAAAGGCAGAAACACATCCTTGTCAGAGTCTGACACTGACCTCATGCCTCAGTTTCCCCACCTGCAAAATAAGATTAGACAGAATATCTGGATTTCTGTGCTTTTATACTTTAAGAATTATCTGCTATGTTTGTATCTGTTTGTTGTCACTGATTCTTACTCTGTGTCAACTGTTTGTTATGTCTTAATAACAAGGATTTTTTTTTTTTTTTCTTAAACAGGTTTTGGCCAGAACTGAAATGTCAGCAACTAAGAGGAAAAAGGAATTTTTTCTAAATGTTCAAATACTCTCCTTAGACAAAAAGTTAAGTGTTATGGTTTTTTAATATTATTTTTTTCCTATGGGATTTCTGGTACCATGCCCCCCCACCCCCAATGAAGCCCACGCCTAATGCTTATTAAATTAACTCTTCAGTTATTGTGACTGATTAGTGCTCATAATAACCTTAGAAGGAAAACAACTGATTTTATTTTATTTCAGTTTGGAAACTGAAGATCTGCACAGGTCATTGTGTGTGATCTCCAGAGAGACCACTATAAAAATGGAATTAATAGCCCAGCTGGTGTGGGTCAGTGGATTGAGCATTGTCCCATGGACTGAGAGGTCCTGGTTTGATTCCTCGTCAGGGCACATGCCCCGGTTTTCAGGCTTGATTTTCTGTTGGGGGTACATGCAGGAGGCAGCAGATCAGTGTTCCTCTTTTACATCGATGTGTCTATCCATCTCTCCCTTCCTCTCGCTAAAAAAATCAATAAAAACATATTTTAAAAAAACAATAAATTACAACAGGGTAAACTCTCATCGTTGGTGTTCAAATAGGGGTATTTCCTTCCCATGGATTTACTTGTGTCTTTTTTCTTTTCCAGAAGTTTGTGTAATAAGTCCATCAGTTTTGAAATATTTGATGTTTGAGCCTGTCCCTCTAATAAAACATTTAGAATTCAGAAGGCACACCCATGACTCTGGCAGTACATTACTGTTCTCTTGATTATCTAAGATGGAAGGATATAAGATTGTCTAAATGAAGATTAAAATGCTCAGATCATGTAAGACTGGCACTGTGTGTCTGATGGAAGACTTCCCAATTCTAAATAGAGAGTTACAGTAAAACAAAACCTAGTGGGCTCCCATTGTAGGTCCCCACCCATCTTTTTTCAGAGCCTACTCCTAAAATTGCTTGTCCCCAGCTCACACTTTCCCTGAGGCTGGGGAGGTAATTGAAAGGAAAGCACATCCTTTTAAACTAAAACACCTGCTGGGCTGTAAACATCTATTAGTGCATTTATCTCTACTCTGAAAATCTAACAAAGGAGTTATTTGTGCAGTTGAAAGTAGGATTTACCTTGTAAAAGTCAATTTGAGTTCATTTTTACTCTCTCTTTTTTTTAATGTACTTTATTCATATTAAGGCAGTTTACTTTTTTTTTTTTTTTTTTAAATCCTCTCTGGAGGATATTTTTCCATTTATTTTCAGAGAGTGGGAGGGAGAGACAGAGAGAAAGATTGACTGATTGTCTCCTGCAAGACCAAAGTGCCTACTTTTGACTGGAATCAAACGCCAGACTCTGGTCCTCGGGCTGATGCTCTAACCGTTGAGCCAAAGTAGCCAGGGCCATTTTTACTCTTAAATCCAGCCAACCTTTTCTGTCTTAAAAGGAGAAATAAAAACCACCACAGAACATTCACCAGGGTCCTTGCTACCTCTAATCTCAGGCACATGAATTTCTAGTTGGCTGTAACTTGGTTTAAGTAGAAAGTTGAGAAGGAAGAAAACAAGCCTAATTCTTTTGTCATCTGAAAAAAAACATGTTTGAAAATGTCTCCACGACCTTAGAACATAGCAGGTAGCCTATGACAGTCATTTCTGTCCCTGCAGAGTGAGAGTGAAAAGCACGGAAGCCAAGATTCTGAGGAAGTCCCACATCGAGGACATCGCTTCCTTATTGGGTAAGGAACTGTGAGGCCTTAACAAATGAAGGGAGAGTTTGGGGACATGTAGGGACATAGTTCTCCATGTCAAAATGACCCAACTCACTAATGTGTCTTCACACAAAGAAATGTGAAGTCTTTGAGGCTAAGGAGAAGAAGAAAGTAGGTGTACTTTCTTAAACCTTTCTAGAATTTGCCCTTAGGACCAATCTGTGCTTGTGCCTGCCACAAGTGTCAGTATCTGTTGGTCACATCCATGGCCTGCAGGGTACACAGGACATGGAGTGGGTTTGCTTTCTTGAGGAGAGGTAGAAAGAATTTTCTTTTCATTAAATTTTTATTTATTGATTTTAGAGAGAGAGGAAGGGAGAGAGATATAGAAATATCAATGAGAACATTGATCGTCCACCTCCTGCATGCCCCTGGGGATTTGGCCCATAACCTGGGCATGTGTCCTGACTGGGAATCGAATTGGCATGGTGCATGGGTTGACACTCAACCATTGAGCCACACCAGCCGGGCAGAATTTTCTGTTTTTTGTTTTTTTTTTTCTTTTTACCACATCCCGAAGTAAGACTGTAATAAGGTGCTGCTGCTGGTCTTATCTATGCCCAAGGTTTCAGAGGCAGTAGGTTGTGTATTGAAATTTGGAAGCTGAGTCCGGTGAAGAAGGCACTATGTGGCTGGCATCAACATTTCTGGCTACCCATTGTTTGGGGAAAGAAACTTGGTGACGACCTCCTTTGCATATTGCAAAGGTGGGAGACTTTGCCTGGGCCTTTCACTCCCCAGGAAACCCTGACCTCAGGCAGCCCTGAGTTTTCTCTCTCCTCAAAGAAGGAGTGTTTGTCCTATATGCGAGGGACTGTTTCTGTTGTTTTTTTAAATTTTGGTTAATCCTCACCTAAGGATATTTTTCCATTGATCTTTTAGAGTGGAAGGGACGGAGTGAGGGAGGGAGAAAGAGACAGAGACACATTAATTGGTTGCCTCTGCACACCCCTGACCAGGGCTGGGAATTGAACCTATAACCCAGGTTTGTGCCCTTGACCAGAATCGAACCTGAGACCCTTTGGTCATTGGGCTGACGCTCTAACCACTGAGCCAAATTGACCAGGGCCTATTTGTTTTTTAATATATTTCTATTGATTTGTAGATATGGAGGAAGGGAGAGGGAGAGAGATAGAAACATCGATGATAGAGAAACATCATTAGCTGCCTCCTGCACGCCCCCTATTGGGGATAGAGCCTGCAACCCAGACATGTGCCCTGACTGGGAATCGAACCTCTAACCTCTTGGTGCATGGAACAGTGCTTAATCCACTGAGCCACACCAGTGAGGCGGGACTGTTTTGTAAACGGTCATCCAGAATTCTTTCCCATGGTGTTTATAAAATAGGGCCTATATCCCTATGTCTTTGGAAAAGCAGTTTATTGTTCAAAGCAGACTTCAGCCTCGCACACCCTCAGCTTGTCAACTATCACTTTTCAGTCGCTGCCATCTGTTTGCTCAGGTCATGTTGGGGGCCAGTTATTTGTGGGTGCCTTTATATGAAACACAGGAAGTCCTGTGTTGATGGAGGGGTTATACCCGTTGAGCTTCGAGATTACATCTGTTACCTAGTTCCCACAAATAGCATCAGGTCTGTGTGTTGGAATGAATAAAATGACGCTGTTGCGGCAGAGGCCAGGCTGAACTCCACGCCCGGAGTGCTCTTTCCTGCCTTTGAGATGCTCTTGCAAAGAAGTATGGAAAATTGGCCCAAAAGGAGTCCTTTCACTCTGCTCTTTCTCACCCCATCCTCCTCCCCAGAATCATTGCCTCCCAGTTCTTTATTTCCTTGGGGTGGATTCTCATTGACCCTGATCGAATTGGAAGTTGTCAGGCTGCAAGACGATTTGTGAAATATCTGAATATGTTTTGCTGGCAGGATTGTTTTGTAATCTGGAGGAATTCATTTTTGTAATCCAAATTGGTTAGGGTCACTCAATTTGTTTTTTAAAAAAACTGAGTCCTGCAGCCCTGAATGCAGACATTGTGGCCAACTATGGTTTTATAGCCCTGTCCCTCTGAGGGGAAGACAAAGAGGAGAAGTGTCAGCCCTCCCTTTAGGTGGAAAACTAGCTACAGAATGAGACCAAGCCTGTAAAGCCATGCTTTGATGGCAGTGCTTGGGCATCTGGACATCACACAGGCTTTGTTTATTTACCATCCTTCAGCCTCACAGAACAAGGTTTCAGCCAAACCTGTGGAGGAGTTGACCTACAGACGGTCACTTCGAGTGGCTCTGGATGTTTTGAACGAGAGAACCTGTTCCCCTCAAAAAAGCTCTTCAAGTGAAGAAGGAACTGCTTTGTCTTCAGGAGAGAAGCACGTGGAACTGGCATCCTCATTCTGTGATCCCAACCCTTCATCTTGTCTCCATGAGGGGGTGTTGGGCAGTTCCGGACCTGAGAGGAGGGAACGCATACACCAGAGGCTGTCAGGCTTGTCCACTAGTGAAAATGACCTCAAGTGCCAAATGGACCAGAAGAAGGGGTTTGGGGAAAGAGAAAGCCCACTTGCTCTGGTAGTCTCAGCCAGAGGTGACTCTCAGGCCCGGAGTAAATCAAGAATACATCTCAAAAATGGGACGATCCTGAATAAAAGGGGAAGAACTCTGGCACAGGAGCCCAGCAGGTGTCAGAATGGCTCTTCACTTTCGGTGAGAGATCTGGAAAGAGAGAGCAAAAAAGAGGCAGGCAGTCCTGCAGTCCTGAGCTCACCTTCTGCAGTTAGGGAGTTGGGTCTGTGTGCCAAAGGTCACCACTCTGGTTCGTCATCAGGCAACCCCACTATGCATCCAGCCTACCCGGATTCTCAGGGCCCATCCACTAAGCAGTTGTTCTCTGGTGGCAGCCAGAGATCTGGGCCAAGGGGATACATGACTCTTCGCAGTGCCAGTAGGCTCGGCCCACCCATCCTCCTCACTCCTTCGGAGGACACAAGTCTTCATGTCCTGGCGGAAGGTAGGTCTGTCCCAGCCTTGGGACAGGGTGGGATTCTGGTCCTCCCTCAGCCAGATTCAAAGCCAGGCCCCATGTATTTTTAACTAGATCTGATCCAGAACAGAGATTTCCCAGATCCTTTTTGTCTGCTTCTCTTACTGGGTTATAATTATTCCACTTCTCCCCATATTTGTGTTATTTTTGTTTTAAAGGGGAGGGAGGGGATGGAATGGGGCCTGGAGTAGCTTGCCAGTAGCCCTGTGCAGCCCTGTTGTAGGAGGCACTGTGGTATGAAAATGCTCCCTTCCAGGATTAATTCCTTTCTTCTTAAACCTTTGCAGGAGTGAGAACACAGGGATCTCAAAGTGATGAACTCACTCCAGAGGCTCCTGACTTCCCATGTAGACATTTCTGTGCGGCTGCAGTCAGGCTCTGTGATTTTTTTTTTTTTTCATTTTCACATTGTAGCATCCCACTTTTGAAATGCTAATTAAGAATCTTCATATCTGCTTGCTGGGATGTTCTACTTGCTACCCACCTACTGTCCAGGGTTCTGCCCGGAGTCCAAACTTCCTTCATGAAGTTTGCACCCTGGCATATTTGAAAGCTGCAGGGAACTGATTCGCACTTCCCTGTGTTCTGACTACAGTCCTGCCTTGTTCCCCAGTTGTATCCCTGTCCCTGCACATCCACTGAGTGTTTCATACCAGAAAGGAATAAGCCCCACAAAAGGGATCCTCCCAGAATCCAGTCAACCTCCTATGACTTGTGTTGCTTCTTGTACCTTCCAGCTTCAACATGAAAGGTGTCCCCTCTTTGTCTCGCCCTCTGTCTCATTTATTTGTCTTTTAAATGCCCTCTAATGGAAATGTACCCCACTTGAATCAGGCAGTGTGGAAGTCTGTGTAACATGGGATCTGTTCTCACTGATGGTCACGGATCACAAAGTGTTTTTCTTGGGATGAGTCACTGACCATGAAAGTCTAATCTGACATTATTGGCAGACCGTCAGTCTTCTGAAGAGTCAATGGAGTTTGATCCCATTAATTCCATCCTGGAGGAGGAGGAGGAGGAGGATGAGGAGCCCCCAAGAATCCTTTTATATCACGGTAAGGCTTGAGAATGGCCCAGGGGTGGGAGTGGGAAAACGCTGTCAGGTATCAATTCTCTGGAGGGAATTGCCACATTCCTGGACCACTGTGACACCTTTGCCTGAAGGTCTCTTGCTCTTTCATTTTTCTCCTGCTGAGCCAAGACCGTGGAAAGTGCTGAATTTTTGGGTCCCTGCCTTAAGCTTAGCCTCACAAAGGAAGGAGAGATTCTTTGTCAGCACAAAGTTTTCTTCCCTTGTCTTACTGTCCCCTCTTGGGATCAGGACAACCAAGTGAACAGGTGGGCTCCCTGGCCACCGTTGGGGTGTAGCTTGGCACCTCTCACAGACCTTTGTTGAGGGCACCTATGTGTCTTTTAGAGCAGGAGTTTTCGCCATCCCACACATGCTGCCTGCTCTGAGCAGACCACCCTGGACAGATCAGAGCTAGGGACCCAGATTGTGAACCGACACAAAGTCCATTTGCTTCATGAAATAAATGATGGAAAACCAGTTCCCTTGTTAGACTTGCCCATTAACCTCTCAGGTTAACAGTCTAGTATTTTTTTAACCTTTTGATTTTGAAAGAATTATAGATTCACGGGATGTTGCAGAAATAGCACAGGGAAGGATGGGGACCTATCCCCTAGCCTCCCAATGACAACAACTTGCAAAACCAGGAAGCCATGTGGGTATAGCACCAGGGTGTCCCCATTTCTCCTGTGCCACTTATGCACCCTTGTCACACGGTCTTTCCCCCAAACCACCTAGTACTTTTCTCTCACTGTCACTGTATATACAGGTTTGCATTTTTCTTTTTTTAACCTAATGAGAATTCAGACATTTTTACATTTCCACATGGTCTTCTGATTATTCTCAGTGGAAACTAGTTACTATTTACTAGGAGTGATGGGCAATCACGTACTGAGCTTTCCCCACTGTTGGATGTCTAAATTGTCCCGCGACTGTGGGGCCACAGTGCCTGTAGCGCATCCTGGGAAATAACTCTGTAGCATCAGCTTCTGGAGCAGGGCTTGCTGGGCCACAGAGAAGGGACACTGTCTTCTTCCAAAGGGGTATTTCTGTCCCCACCACCACTAGCTTGGGATCAGGTTGCTTTGGTCCCCAAAACCTGAGTGTTTGTTTTTTCTCCTGGTTTCTGCTTCCATTTGGTGTGGGTATTCACTGTTGGTCCCTGAATTGGCTGTCTGTACCCTGACCCATTGTTCCTTGAGAAAGGAAGGCTTCTTGTGGGGGTAACAGCCCCTCACAGGCCGTACAAGGAGGTTTTCCAGTTTGCCTCTGTCCTCCCTCTTGCTTCTCACTCTGCAGACTTTTAACTTTTAGGTAGTTGGAGAGCCCAGATTCCCTTCTCCCACAGTAGTGTCAGACAGAAGATCTTGGCTCTGGGTCAGACACCATCCTTTCTTTCTCCAAGGTTTTGTTACCTGATTTTTTAAACATTTAAATTATTGCACCCTGGCTGATTTGGCTCAGTGGTTAGAGTGTAGGCCCACAGACCAGAGAGACCTAGATTTGGTTCCCGCTAAGGGCACATACCTTGGTTGCAGTTTGTCCCCGGTCCTGGTTGGGGTTGTATGGGTGGCATCTAGTCGATGTGTCTCTCTCGCATTGATGTTTCTCTCTTTTCTTTCCTCTCTCTCCCCCACTCTATCTGAAGATAAATGCAAAAATGTCCTCGGGTGAGGATTTTAAAAAAATTATTGCCTGGCTGGTGTGGCTCAGTGGTTGAGTATCAACCCATGCACCAAGAGGTCACCAGTTTGATTTCTGGTCAGGGCACAAACCCAGGTTGTGGACCAAATCCCCATTGAGGGGCCTGCAGGAGGCGGCAGTTTATGTGCTCTCTCATCGATGTTTCTTTTTTTATCCTCACCTGAGGACATTTTTTGCATGTATCTTTAGATAGAGTGAGAGGGGGAGAGGGGAAAAAGAGAGAGAGAGAAACAGTGATGTGAGAAAGACACATAGAGTGGCTACCACCCACGCAAGCCCAGCTGGGCCCGGGGACAAACTGCAACTGAGGTGCGTGCCCTTAGCGGGAACTGAACCTAGGACTCTCTGGTCTGTAGGCCGATGCTCTAGCCACTGATCCAAAGCAACCAAGGCTCATCAGTGTTTCTATCTCCCTCTCTCTTCCTCTATCTCTAAAATCAATAAAGAAAAAATAATTTTAACAAAACGTTAAATTATTTATTCATTTGGCCTGGCCGGTGTGGCTCAGCAGTTGAACATCAACCAATGCACCAAGAAGTCACTGGTTCGATTCCTGGTCAGGACACATGCCCGGGTTGTGGGTCCAATTCCCAGTTGGGGGTGTGTGCAGGAGGTGGCCAGTTGATATTCTTTCTCATTGATGTTTCTCTTTCTCTCCCTTCCTCTCTCTCTGAAAATCAATAAAGAAAAAATATTTTATATATTCTTAAATTATTTTTTCTTTTTTAATAAAAAAATTTTTTTTATTGATTTTATTTTTTTGTATATGCCCTTAGCAGGAACCGAACCCGGGACTCTGGTCCACAGGCCAACGCTCCAGCCGCTGAGCCAAACCAGTCAGGGCTCTTTACTGATTTTAGAGAGAGAGTAAGGGAGGGGGAGAGAGAGAGAGAAACACCAGTGAGAGAGAACATCAATTGGCCACCTCCTGCATCCCCACCCCCCCCACTGGGAATCAGGCCCACAACTGGGGCATGTGCCCTGATTGAGAATCGAATCGGCAACCTCTTGGTGCATGGGTCTATGCTCAACCACTGAGCCGCACCAGCTGGGCTCTTTTTTAATTTTTAGAGAGAGAGGAAGGGAGAGGGAGAGAAACAACAGTGAGAGAGAACATCAATTGACTACTTCCTGTATGCCCCCCACTAGGGATTTGGCCCACAACCTGGGTAAGTGCCCTGACTGGTAATCCGGCGATCTCTTGGTGCATGGATCGATGCTTAAGAACTGAGGAACACTGGCCGGGCAAGAAAAAATACTTTAAAAAATAAAAATAGCCCTGGCCAGTTTGGCTCAGTGGTTGGAGCGTCGGCCTGCGGTACAGAGAGACCCGGGTTCGGTTCCCGCTAAGGGCACGCACTTCGGTTGCAGTTTGTCCCTGGCCCTGGTTGGTCATGCGGGTGGCAGCCACTCGATGTGTCCCTTCACGTCGATGTTTCTCTCTCTTCCTCTCTCTCCCTCCCGCTCTCTCTGAACAAAAAAAAAATGGAAAGAATGTCCTCGGGTGAGGAAAAAAAATAATAAAATAAATAAAAAAATAAAAATAAATTATTCACTCACTTGGAAGTTTTTGGTGGAAGAGTTTAATTTTGTTCAGAGCCCTGGCCAGTTTGGCTCAGCGGTTAGAGCGTCCGCCTGCGGTCCGGAGAGACCCGGGTTTGGTTCCCGCTAAGGGCGCGTACTTCGGTTGCAGTTTGTCCCCGGCCCTGGTTGGTCGTGTGGGTGGCAGCCACTCGATGTGTCCCTTCACGTCGATGTTTCTCTCTCTCTCTCTCCCTCCCACTCTATCTGTACAAAAATGGAAAAATATCCTCGGGTGAGGATAAAAAAAAAAAAAAAAAATCTAATTTTGTTCAGAAATTTGTAGTTCTCTAATGATTATTTAAATAATTATCTTTCTTTTCCCTTAAAAGCCCCAATTCCTCAGACAGATGAGCTTCTCAGAAACTGAGTTTTCACGTTGGGTCTTCATTGTGTACCATTGGCTCCTTTCTGGTTTTCTACCAACACTTAAAAAAAAATAATTTGAGATTTATTTATAGAGACGTTGCTAATGTACAGAGTCCCTGCTACCAGCTTCCCATTTATCGGCCAGTGTGACCATGGCATGTTGTCACTGTTAGGAAACCAGTGTGGTGCCTTACTCTTAACCATTCAGCATGCTCTTAATTAGCCCTGAGATACTAGGATGGGAATTACAGACCTTTCCAGTCCTTGTGAACTTTTAAGTGAACTGTGTTAACATCACATTTAAACATTGCAGTAACTGTTTTCTCTGGCTGATGCATTTGCTGCTTGACGTGGATCTGACTTGTCTGTTTTTTTTCGTTTGTTTTTCTTTTTTTTAATTCTAGAACCACATTCATTTGAAGTAGGAATGCTGGTCTGGCATAAATACCAAAAATACCCCTTCTGGCCTGCAGTGGTAAGAATAACTCTATCTCCTAAGTGCAATTACTCAGCCCCCTTGACACTTGGACCTGGGCAGATGTTTTCACTATTTCATTATTACTGGGAAAAGTGATGGGCTTATAAGCAGGATTTCTGGAGACACATGTACCTAAATAAAGGGAGTTTAGTCATTGTGGCACCTACCATTGAGGGTAAGGTTTACAGGTCAAATTTTACCAACCAGGCTTAGAAAAACCTGCCTGAAAAAATATCCACAATTTGCTCGTTTTATTATATATATTTTTAAATCGTCATCTGAAGACATTTTTTCCATTGATTTTTTTTTTTTTTTTTAGAAAGAGTGAAGGGGAGGGAAACGGGGAGAGAGAGAGAGAAATATTGAGTTGAGAGACACATTGATCAGATGCTTCCTTCACATGTCCCGACCAGGGCCAGGGTTTGATCTACAACCCAGATACATGCCGTTGACCGGGAATCAAACCCGCAAGCCTGCAGTTTGAGGGCCGACATTCTAACCATTGAACCACACCAACGAGGACACACTTTTGTCATTTTAAATGTTGTGCATTTCAGAGTTTTTTCTCTGTGGGAGTTTTTTAATCTTTTAGATTTTTTGGGTAGGGAGCCATTGTATGTATAAAAACAGGCATTTGAGGCCCTGGCTGGGTAGCTCATTTGGTTAAGAGCATCAACCTGATATGCCAAGGTTATAGGTTTTATCCCCAATTAGGGCACATACAAATATCAACCAATGATTGCATAAATAAGTGGAACAACAAATTGATGTTTTCTCTTTCTTCCTCTCTCTCTCTCTGCCCCCCCCCCCCCCCGGTCTAAACTCACTAACTAAAAATTAAATAAAATAATCACTGGCATTTGAGATCCTGCCCAGTGTCCCAGTGTCCCAGTGTCCCAGTGTCCCAGTGTGATGAATAAGCTTAAATGTAGCCAAAGTTGGAGGCTTTGCTTTTACACCGGACATTGCAAACGGGCAGTTTATTGTTTAGGCAAAGGCACTGTCTTGGCTACTCTTGCCCTTTTATTTCCCCCATTATCCTCCTCCAGCTGAGACAGGACCTGCATGATTCTAGCTGGAGTTCTTTAATATTTAGTGAGAGACAATAGTGTTTAATTTGGAAAGGTATTAGTTGTAGTCAGGAACACCTATGTTGTCTGGATGAGTCTGACATACAGTCAGTAGGGCCTCCTTGTACAGGACAGCATGGCTTCGGGAAGGGCAGAACAAGACCCTGCAATGCTCGTGGGCAGAATTTGTAGCTTGAACACACTTCTGATGAGCTGGGCATTTCGGTTCAGTGCCTGGCACAGTTGTGGTAGCCGTTTATTGGGGCCCCCTCCTCCCTCTAGCACCCACTTCCCAACAGATGCCACTTGCAGTAGGCACCCTTTCCCCAGCCCTTTCCTCGCTTCCACCAGTTCCCTGGCGGCCCTGTTGGTTAACAGGTTGCCAACATGGGGCATGAGTGTCCACAGCCACCCTAGCCAGTGCACTCTGTGTGCAGCCTGTGAGGCACTGCATATGGGCTCCTTGGCTTTCACAGTCCAAGGACACGGGTTTGAGTAAGACCCTGCCTCCATTTCATGTGCCTTCGGCTGGTCCTGAACCAACCCTGCTTAGCAGCAGTACAGTCAGCCATGACAATTATGTAGAGATGGTTGCTAGCAGCAGGAGTAGTTGCTTTTATTTTAAAATTTGAGGAAGCCCTGCCCGATTCTACTCAGTTGTGAAACCCCTCAGAGCCATGCATGCAGCAAAACTCGGGCAGTTCCTAAGCATGTTGACATGTGAAATTCACCTCAGTCCCCCAGCCATTGGTATTCTCTCTAATGCGTCAGTTGGTCACCTCTTGCTCAATAAGATAGTGTTAGAAAAGTATTTAAAGCCCATGGCTTTGCCCAGCCAGGGAGGCTCAGTGGTTGAGCATCGACCCATGGACCAAGACGTCGCCAGTTCAATTCTTGGTCAGGGCACATGCCCAGGTCGTGGGCTCAATCCCTGGTGGGGGGCATGCAGGGGGCAACTGATCAATGTTTCTCTCTCACTTCAGTGTTTCTTTCTCCCTCTCTCTCTAAAAATCAATGAAAACATTTTTTAAAAAACAGCTTTTCCTGGGTTCTTGATGCTTTGTTTTCTTGTCTTCACCCATAGGTCAAGAGCGTCAAGCGGAAAGAAAAGAAAGCCAGTGTCCTTTTCATTGAAGGTCACATGGACCCAAAAGGGCGAGGGTGAGCTCACTATCCCTGGCTCTTTACAGACATTTCCTAGGACAGGGGCTAAGTAGCAGGCATTTGGGACCTGCCAGGTCACACAGCTCAGTTTTCCAACCTTTATTTATTGGCTTTGAAAGGCTGCCCAGCCAGATGTGCATCAGACAACCATTTCCCAGAAACTAGCAAAGGTGGCTCCCTCTCTCCATGCAGGTCATAAGTAGCAACCCTGCCTCAATCTGAGTTTTGTCATGTGGTTAGTTGTCCATCTTTCTCCACTCATCCTGGGGTGAGAATGCACACCATGTATCACTGCTCCCAGCGGGCTCTGAAGGCACCACACCACTGACGTAACTGTGTGGAGCTGGTCCTCTCTGATCCTGTGGCACTTTGGTGCTGTCACTCTTCCCTTGGTCACTAGCATTGTGGAAATCGAACCCTGGCATCTCTCCTGTATAGTGGCCGCAGCCATGTCCCCTTAGGGACCCACTCAAGGGTACCTTTAGGGCCTGGCTCCAAGGGGCTTCCTTGGCACAGCTGGTGACCTTTGGGTGACCTAGTCTGGCAGAGGCCCCAGGATAGCCCCTACTAACTTTGCAAGAGGAAGAGAATGTCTTCATACAGTGCCTTATGTCCGTGTAACCTTACCTCTGCTTCCTGTAGCATCACAGTGCCTCTCAAGAGGCTGAAGCACTTCGACTGTAAAGAGAAGCAGGCGCTTCTGGTAGGTGGCTTGTTATCTGTGCTTTACTAAATCGCTCTCTTATGACTGGTGACAGTGTCCTTTGCATAGCCTTTGAAACCACTGTCATGGGTACTACTAGGCACCTGTCGTGTTGGCTCTGGCCACTGCCCTCAGGGGTTCCTGTACAGGACTCAACCACCTGGGAGCTTGACACCTGTCTGCCATGTTCAGGGGTAGAAACCAACTGTGGCATGGGGAACTGTTTGTGCCAGGCTAGAGAGTAAGGTGGCAGAGAGCCTGGACATGAGGCCCACTCCCTCTGGCCTGGCTCCTTCTGAAGCCACATGTTGGGGTGGGGCACCAAGGCCTCTTGGAGTAGGGACCTTGTCCATCCAGTGCCTGAGCACAGCACAGCCAGGACCCTCCCCAGGGTACCTGCTCTGCTTCCATTTGCTTCATCCCCACAATTCTATGGTTAGTTTTGTTATGGATGAGCTCATGAGCTATAAAGTCCTACTCCATTCAAAACATCTGTTCAGCTTTGAAACACGGCTTTTTTATTGTTCCAGCTTTTAGTGTTTGTTTGTTTTTTTTTTCATTTTAGAGAGGAAGGGAGAGGGAGGGAGAGAGAGAAACATCGATGAAAGAGAACATGGTTGGCTGCCTCCTGCATGCCCCTATTGGGGATTGGGCCCACAACCTGGGCATGTGCCCTGGCCAGGAATTGAACTGGCGATCTCTTGGTGCATGGGTTGACGCTCAACCACTGAGCCACACCAGCCAGTTTGTTCCAGCTTTAAAAAAAAAAAGCTGGGCAGGGAGTGAAGGTCTCTGCCTACATCCCACTGTAGGGGTTCCCACAGTGGTTGCCAGGATTTCCTGGGTTTCCAGGTTGGGAAGCATTCTGAGTTGTGTCTGAGCTGTGTCCTCAATAGTGTTGGCACCTGGGAAAATTGCTGTCCACGCATGCTGTTTCCCTGAGGACAGCAGGTCTCGGGCTACAGGGACGATAGGTGGACATTTGGAAGATTGACAGCCATACCAGACACCAGCCCTTCCTTTTTTCCCCTGATCTGCCCATCTTCACAACATGAGTCTCGCTCTGTCTGTCTTGTCTGTTCGAGTTTGTCCACTGCAACATCTAACCTACAACCAGTGCTTGGCACCGGTCCCCATTAGACAGCCTGTCAGCAGAGCCTGGTTCTAGTCTTACAGGGTTCCATGCTCCTTGAATGCCAATCCATAGGTAAAGGGAGCTGCTCACTCACACTTCCAGGCCAGGAGCTGCCTGAACTCTAAGTGCTGCATGCATTCTTAGGTCCTGGTAGCTTTCCCATGGGGTGAAAGATAACGCAGAAAGGAGAGTGGGAGTCTTGCTTTGATATCTGTTATGAGAAGATGTGTGGGCCTTGTGTGGTCCAGATTCCTGGAGGACATCCATGGCTGGCTTCTTGTTCCCCAAATTCATCTGTGAGATGATTATGTAGGTGAGCACAAGGAGCCAGTTCTCTTGAGTAGCAGTGAGCAGCACATCCAAAGGGTGGATGTATTGCCTGTTCTGGGTCGTTGATGGATTGACTCATCGCCTCCAGTGGACGTTGTGTGACTGTCACTGCTTCGTGGCATCTTTAGAGCCCTGTGTGTCTCTTTCCCTGAGGAACCATACCGCCTGACGTCCCTTGTGCCATTCAGCTTGGCCTTCTTCCCACAGAGCTGCTCGCTGTGCTAGCATCCCTTGCCTGCCTCATGTGACCATGGGAGGGTGGCCAGGCCAAGGCAGTGGTAACACAGGATGTGGTTCTAAGGTTCATCTCGAGCCTGTGGAGATTTCCTAGGAGCTAATTTTAGCTCAGGGAGCCTCGCCGGTTATATTGTTCTTGGTTTGGTAGTGTCCAAGTGTCACTCCCTCTAGGCTTATGCTGCCCTTCTCTAAGTGCTGGGCAGAAAGACATCTCTTAGGAGGATTTATTTCACACTTTAAAGTATTCTCCCTACTGGGGAGACGGTCATGGCATCTGCAATTTGTGTTGTTTATTCACCTTCGTCTTACTAGAGTCTTCAGGTCTCTGGCCCAGAGCCAGACTTACAAGGGCCCATGTTCTGAGCAGCCTGGCCCCAGACCTGGGCCTTGCCAGGCATTCCCTGCTGGCCTTGGGAGCATAGCCTGGGGGCATCTGCTGGGTGCCCTTCCTGGACAAGGGCACTGAGACAGTGGGCAACAGGGAGAAACCCCAGCAGACTTCGTTGACATCTGCTATCTCTCTCATTGCAGAACGAGGCCAAGGAGGACTTTGATCAGGCAATTGGCTGGTGTGTCTCTCTGATCACTGACTACAGGGTCCGGCTCGGTATGTGGGACCTCTACAGCCTCAGACAAAGGGAGTAGGCAGGGAAAACAGTGTGGGGCTCCTTTGCAGACCCTCTGGTAGTGAAGGCTGAGCCCATTCCCTGTGGTAGTCTGGCCTGGCCCCTGACAGTTGTGTCTCTAGCTTAGGTGGATGAGCAGTTGCCCAGGAAGAGTCAAGGATGTTGGGCATAGACAAAAGACGGGGCCTCCTTTGAACCAGAGCTGGTTTCTGTCTACCCCAATATGGGCTAAATCAGGCTTGTTAGCAGAAATGCCCAGTCTTTTGGGGGCCTCAGACTCCATACTGCTCCAGTCCTGCTAGAAGGGGTCTGCTCGGGGCTGAGATGTGTGGTTGGAGCATCCTGACCCTACAACCTGGAAGGAGTTTCCAGAGCATACCTCATGTGTGCCTTCTCCCCTCCTCCCTCTTCTGCAGGCTGTGGTTCCTTCTCTGGCTCTTTCCTGGAATATTATGCAGCCAATATAAGTAAGTTCACCAGCTCCTCTTGAAAATTGTGGCCTGCTTTTTAGTCTAAAAGCAACAGGTCCCCGACGCTGCTCATGGATGGTGGGACAATGCAGCCCAGCCCAGTGTCCAGAGGGCTTCCCCAGGTCTCCTCTCCCTGAGGTAGGGGCCTGGATGGCAGGTCCACATCCAAAACTGCCCTGTCAGTGATAATACCCAAATGTTAAAATACATGAACAGCACTTTCATCTGCCTTCCTGTGTTTCACTCAGTGGCAGCCACACACTGTCCCATTCCTCTTGTCTTTAAAGAGGGAGGTAGATGAATTAATGCTTCTTTCGCAGGGCTGGAGGGGCTCTGCTCTTTCAGGTTAAATTTGGCTGAAGAGCAGAGTTGGGAGAGAGATGAGGGCTTCTGTCAGAGAAAGAACCTTTTAGGAATGTGTCTTCCCCACACCTCCGGGATATAGTGAGGGGATCCCACCTGGCCAGGCTGGTGGTCCCACGGATACATACCTTCTCTGTAGGCTATCCCGTCCGCAAGTCCATCCAGCAAGATCTCTTGGGGACCCAGTTCCCTCAGCTCTGCCATGAGGACCCCGAGATGCCTGTGTCCGGGAGTCCCTGGGGCAGGAGGCAGCCCTCCAGAAAAGTCCTGCCTGACCGATCAAGGGCTGCCCGGGACCGGGCCAACCAGAAGCTGGTAGAGTACATTGTGAAGGCAAGGGGTGCTGAGAGCCACCTGAGAGCCATCTTGAAGAACAGGAAGCCATCCAAGTGGCTGAAGACGTTTCTGAACTCAGGGCAGTATGTGACGTGTGTAGAGACGTACCTGGAGGACGAGGAACAGCTAGACCTGGTGGTGAAGTACTTGCAGGGGGTCTACCAGGAGACAGGCAGCAGGATGCTGACGCAGATCAACTGCGACAGAATCCGCTTCATCCTGGATGTTCTTCTGCCTGAAGTGAGTGTGGCCAGCAGGGCATCCTGTGCGTGAGGGGGTTGGGGGTCAGTGGCGCGGGCCCAACCATAGACCCAGCCCACCTTTGCCCAGGCATGGGCTGTATCAGGCATGGGGCTTGGACAGTTTGGTGCTAGGATATCACCCTCCCCAAATCTGCCTGGAGGCTCTTGCATCATGGAGCCCCAGCACTCGCTTGTTCACTCTGTGGTCAGTGGCACAGGGCCAGGGTGTTCTGATCTCATCACCAGCCCTGGGAGAATGAGATATGAAGACTTCATCTGAGTGCACAGGTAGTGACTATTCCAGAATTTACTTGGGAAAAGGGAGTTTTAACCTTCCTTAGTGCTGGGACCCGGCTGGGTGAGGAGCATATACAGCTCCTCAGTTACGGTGAAGTTCAGAGAGGGCACTGCTGGGCATGTATGCAGTGTAGACAAGACATTGTCAAATGCAAATATGTTGAATTTTATGATTATGGAAAGTTTCAGATATATACAAAAACAAAAGAACATCATGAACCCTTTTGTGCTCATCACCTGGCTGGAATAGTGACCTCAGTTCATATGCGCCTCCAGTCTTCCCCCCAGATTAGTTTTCTTGGGGGGGAGAATCCCAAACTTTAAAAAAAAATAAAAATAAATAAATAAATAAATATATATATATATATATATTTTTTAATTGATTTGGGGTGGGGGGAGGCATTGACTTCTTGTTCCACCTATTTATGAATTAATTGGTTGATTCTTGTATGTGCCCTGACCGGGGATTGAACCCGCAACCTTGGTACATCAGGACAATGTTCTAACCAACTGAGCCACTCGGCCAGGGCCCAAACATTTTTTATTCATAAATACTTCCTCGTGTATCTCAAAAACGGGGTGATCCTGCTTCCTGGGGACATGTGGAGTTGTTACACTAGAGGTGTGTTTCTGGCACTGAGGGGGTGGGGCTGGGGATGCTGCTCAACAACCCACAGTGCCCAACCACAGTGCTGTTATTTCACCTAAAAAAATTGACAACGATTCCTTGATATCAGGCATCTATTATGTATTCAGATCATCACCATTGTATCTTTTTTTTTAACAGTAAACTCAAAATTTTTCAAAAATGCACTTGTTGGTTTGGGTGCTGCCTTTTGTTATTTGCTTTTAGTGACAGGAACTCTCATCTCTAGTCCAGTAATGTTTCTGATTTAATTCATAAACTTTATTACAAGTGGAGATGTCTCAGGTTCTGTAAATATCTTTAAGCCATAAATGAAAATGTGTCTGGAGGCCAACATGTGGTCAAACTGGCCCCTTGCTAATTATTCAGTGCTCAGCACCAAGAATGGCCTGACCCAGGGTTGATCCGTCCCCTTCTTGCAGGCCATCATCTGTGCGATCTCTGCGGTGGACCAGGTAGATTACAAGACTGCTGAGGAGAAATACATCAAAGGACCTTTGCTGAGCTACCGGTAGGCTGCTCAGAGCCCTGTCCCAACAATTGTACAGGTTATCTTCCAAGGCTTATATTTGCACACGTAGTAGTAGCTGGAACTGAGGCCCCTCTTTTTTTTTTTTTTGGTATGTGCCCCTAGTGGGAACCGAACCCAAGACTCTCTGGTCTGCAGGCTGACACTCCCAACCGCTGAGCCAAACCAGCCAGGGTGAGGCCCTCTTTTTGACATGTTGGACCAGATGCCCACTTGGTAAATGAGTCACATGAACTTGAAAATACATGTTAGCACTTGGCTGATGAATTGCCAGACAAACCTGGTGAAGCTGGCGATGGACATTCATGTCCTCTGTTAAGTTTGGGCAGTGGGCCCTGGTCCCAGAACTGGACACAAACCTTGAGCCCACATAGAACCCTGTAGGGGCAGCCAACATAACCACTGGACATGTGCTTGGGCCTCTCTTTCTACTCTCCTCTTGCTGAGGGCTGATGTTTGTATTTTTAACTCTCTTCCCTGTTGCTGCAATGCCATAGCTGTTTGAGAACAGGCAGCACTCAGCATGATGGATGATCACCAGTCAGAGAAGGCTCTGATCAAGATGTTTCTCTCACATCGGTGTGGTTAGCTGCCCTTAGATTCTGGCCTTGGAGCCTCTAATCCCATCCGGGCGTGCTGCCAGGCCTTGCTGGAAATAGGTGTGGCTGCGTGCCAGTGATAGGCTGAAGACAAAGTCACAGGCCAGGGGCCATCCAAGGCTGACTGGGCACCATCACAGGACACTCAGGGGTGAAGATGCTCGGCATCCTTCCCAGGCAGTGCCCCAATGTGTGCAGGGAGGGAGTGCCGCCTGCCAGCTACATTGGATGATAGGCCTCCTGTGCAGCTACCCACAGAAGAGTCACTTGGCTCTGCATGCAGCTTATTAAACAGGAAGGAAGGGCCTTTGGAGACAGAAACTTGGCATCTCTCTCTCCAGATCTCAGGGGTCTGGCCTGGTGCGATTTATACATAAATAAAGATAGTGGTCTTGGGAAAAGGAGGGTGGAGCATCAACATGAGAGCTCAGCCTTCTGCTCCTTTGATCTCATCTCCATCTCCACACTCTTCCCTCTGCTAGGTTGCCAGCATTAAGAATGTTAGGAGTTCTTGCCCTGGCTGGTTTGGCTCAGCAGTTAAAGCATCAGCCCGAGGACTGAAGGGTCACTGGTTTGATTCCCAGACAAGGGCACATACCTGAGTTGTAGGGTTTGATCACATCGATGTTTCTCTCTCTCTCTCTCTCTCTCTCTCTCCTCCCCCTCCTCCCCTCCCTCCCCCCCCCCTCCCCTTCCACCATATCTAAAAATCAATGAAAAATATCCTTGGGTGAGGATTAACAACAACAAAAGAGTGTTAGTTCTTGCAGTTTCTGCCTGCCATGAACATGTCACGTGCCCCCTGGAAATGAGGTTCACCTGCTGACAACTAAATTAGGGTGAAAACATGGGCCCCATTTTATTCCCCTGAGGACATGGTCTAGGGAACACAATCAGTGATTGGCCTTTGTTTCTGTCCTTTGGCCCCAGTTTTCAGTCACATGGTGTCTGTCATGGGATCCATCCACTGGTGTCCCTCTCGTCTTACAAGTTAAGAGGTTATGCACACATCTGACTTTTTACTCTGTGTTGCAAAGGTGTGTGTAGTGTTTCCCTTGTGCTCATTTTCAGGCTGCCTGTGTGTCTTGTTTTGAACTGATGTGCACACATTTACCTCACCAATGTTTCTGTGTTTAGCTGGGCCACCTCAGAATTACTGTTCCTTGATTATTTCTATCCTGAATTCAGTGGCCAGCCACGTGACTGTTAACAGTTTTTCTTAACTGGGAGTCACTTAGTAAGGACAATGTGATATTTAATACTTTTAAAAATTATTTTTATTTTATTTATTCACTTATTTTCTTTATTGACTTTAGAGAGAAAGGAAGGGAGAGGGAGAGCGAGATAGAAACATCGATAAGAGAAACCACTGATCGGCCACCTCCTACATGCCCCCCACTGGGGATTTGGCCCACAACCTGGGCCTGTGCCCTGACCAGGAATAGAACCGGTGACCTCTTCAGGCATGGGTCGACGCTCAACCACTGAGCCATACCGGCTGGGCAAAATTACTTTTTAGTTGTGGTAAAATATACATTACATGACTACCATCTTAACCATTTAAAAAAGAACTTTATCATTGATTTTCAAGAGAAAAAACAAGAACAAAATTGATTTGTTGTTCCCACTTATATATGCATTCATTAGTTGATTCTTGTATGTGCCCTGACCAGGGATTGAACCAGCAACCTTGGCATATCATGACAACACTCTAACCAACTGGACTACCTGGTGAGGACCATCTTAACCATTTTTAAGTGGTGGACAGTTCAGCAGCATTAAATACATTCACATTGTTGCCCTGGCCGGTGTTGCCTAGTGGTTAGAGCGTCGACCACGTGCACCAAAAGATCACAGGTTTGATCCCTGGCCCCAGTTAGGGTCATGCAGGAGGTAACCAATTGATGTGTCTCTCTCTCACATTGATGTTTCTCTCTCTGTCCACTCTCTAAAAATCAATGGAAAAATTATCCTTGGGTAAGGATTAACCAAAAAAATAAAACCCATTCACATTGTTGTACACCTAACACCACCTTCATCTCCAGAACTTTCCATCTTTCCAATCTGAAACTCTGCCCCATCATACACCAACTTCTCTGTTTCATGTTCTTTAGAACACGATTAATTACTAAAATGAAGTTGTCACTTTTTGTCTTCTGAAGGGAAAAAGAAATCTTTGACAACCAGCTCCTAGAAGAAAGGAACCAGCGATGCTGATGTGGGAAGGCACCGTTGTGTGTAGTGAGAGTCACCAGAGGTCCCTTGTCTGTTGCACACACTTTCTGAAGATGGGACTGGGGAGATGTGTACATCAGATCTGTCTATAAAGATGGTTCTATTTTCTGGGCTTTTAGGGAAGATACAGTTCATGAAAGGTTTTTGAAAGAACAAAATTGACTTATTTTGCTTTATTTCATTACTTGTGACTGTATGGAATAGTTTAATATAAGGTACACATTTGTCTTTTTATGTTAAAAAGCATTGTATCCGATATTAAACAGGATTTTTTTTTTTTTAAAGAGTCTGATATGAATGTATAGCTCCAGAAATATCATGTATTTTTCCATTTCCGTTCCTTTGTGTGGTTTCCTCTTAAGATGGTTCCCGAGTTTACTGTGCCTCCTTGTGCACTTTTGAGGAAAATCAGTATTTGTAAAAGGCGGAACCAAAGACCAGCTACTTTCTTGTGTTTTAGCGTTTGCTGTATTGTTCGTGCTGCAGGACTCTTCTTTCCATAGCCTCTTTCCACTTGGTTTCATGGGTGTGGGTCTCCATATGGATGTTGAGGCCACCTGTCCCCTGTGGATTTCCATGCATGACAGCGTCTGCCCCAGCACTGAGCATTGTCACAGTCCAGCCAACCCTGTGTTCTTAGTAATCTGCTTGGGTAGCTGTGACGATTCTGTGTTCACCACTCCCACATAGATAGCTAAGGTCATCATATACCTGCCCTGGGCCGGGCTCTTGTTTTGAAAGCCATAGAATTGGGCTTTCATTCCTGCCCAAAGCATGAGATGGGTCCCAGGGCCCCCCAGTTATGTGCAAACCCATGGCTCATTTTTACTTGACCAGGCCTCTTAACATGGGTACCAGTCAGAGCCACACACCAATGAGTTATGTATTCTAAGCTGATGGCGACATTGTATGTGGCAGTAAACATTGGTGAAATTAATTTTCAAGGCCCTGCCCCATTGTCACCACCACCCTGCACTGAGTTCAGCACCCCCAAGATAATAACAGTGCCCTCTCTCTTGATGTTCCCCTTACCTGACTAATTACCGCAGAGGGCAGTTGGAAGGAGATTCTCATGGAATGCGCGAGGGTGGGTGCCCTGGTGGCCCAAGAGATTGTTGTCTGTGCAGGAAGGAGCTTCAGAAATCACCTCTGGTTGGTTAGCAGGATGTGCCGGGGAAATGGCATGTGACCTTGGGGCCCCAGAATCCTGCCAGTGATCTTTGTCTCAGCTGATTTTGCTCAAATCTGAACAGAAAATTGTTACATGTGTTGCTCAAATCTAAGCAGAAAATTGTTACATGTGGCTCTAGTGGCCCCGCTGTCATCCTTCCTAGGTTGGCCAGAGGGGTGTCAGTCTGGGGCCAGGCTTGGGAGAGGGACTGGTGGCCCAAAGCCGAGACCATGGTGGATGGGGGTCTGCATCTGATGGGGAAAGTTCCTGATATCTAATAGCTTGGCCCTGCATGGATCACTCTTCCTGGACAGAGAGTCTATCCCTACACCAGACGGTCCACCAGCACTGCCAAAATGGGCCTGGCTTCCTTCCAGAAAAGTTTGACAGCACTGTCTACTGACAGCAAGTGGCTGATGTGCGTATACACTGGCTGCTCTCCTGAACAAATGTTCTTGAGGCCCCATGGAAATCCTGTAGCCCATATGGAGCTATTCTGTTATTGTGAAGTTTTTGTTTTATTTTGTTTTTTGGTACATGCCCCTAACAGAAACCAAACCCAGGACTCTCTGGTCCACAGGATGACACTCCAGCCGCTGAGCCAAACCAGCCAGGGCAAAGTATTTTTAAATTCCTGTTTTTTTGCTTATCTTCACCGTGTTTCAAGGCTGTGCTTGTAGACTTGAACCATTCAGATGGGAAAGTAAATGCCATTTTGGAGCTCTAACTGCTTTCCTGGGACCTGCGTGCAATCTCCCTCAGGTGGGCTTGGAGCTTGTGAGGTGCAACCCTGGCCCCATCTGGGGAGGCTTCTAAACCACATCCTGGTCTTACTTACGTCCCTACAGGTGTTTTCAATGCTTGCTGTGTTTTTGTGGATTCAAAGGGTGTTTGTCTTCAAACTTTGTCCTGGGGCAAGGAGGCGGTGGTGGCTGGTGGAGTGGGTGGGGGTCTGTTCTTCCTCTAAGTGGGTGGTGGCAAGCCCTGGCTGGTTTGGCTCAGCGGTTGGAGCGTCTGAGGACCAGAGAGTCCAGGGTTCATTTCCCACTAGGGGCACATACCAAAAATAAAAAATTAAATAAATAAATAAATAAATAAATAAATAGGTGGTGGTAGTAGTTCAGGAAGTCACAGCCAGCTTACCTGCCAAGTGAGAAATGTCTAAAGGCCAGTGCCACTCAGCTGTTCTCAAACATAAAGATGGACTTCACTCAACACAAGGTGGGGCTGCAGCTGAGGTATCCCACCCCACCTACATCCTCCTGAACCCACTATTCTCAATGGTGATAGTTTTCCCCCAATGTTCTGGCAGCTGAATCTTACAGCAGGCTCTCCCTTCTGCACTGCTGACATGGGGCAGTGGGGGGAGGGTGTGTCCTGGTCACTGGAGCGGGATATTGAACATCATCCCTGGTCCCAGCCACTTGCCAAGAGCACCCCCATAAACCGATGGGAATCTTGGCTCCTTTCCCTGTCACCATCACTGTGGAGGCAGTGACTTCTGCCTACCTCCTCTGCCCCTTCCCCATGGGCTTTGTCTAGCTAGTTGCTCAAAGCTGCCAGCACCGCCCTGGCCGGTTTCTCTTACCCCCTCTCTCCCTCCACCAAAAAAAATTTTTTAAGCTGCCAGCTCCTCCACTGGGTTCTCTCTGCTGCGTTCTTGTCCTCCCCACAGCACTTCCTGGGACACTTTCCTTCACCCCTGCATTCTCCAGCCCAGCCCTCCACTGAACCTCATCCAGAGCCTGCGACCCTGTGACCACACAGATGCCTTCCCTATGGTCAGTTGACTCCCAGCGCCAGCTTCCACAGCAGAGCAGTCAAATCCACTTCAGGGAAGTAGCATGTTTCTACAGAACCACTTCCTGGAGTGGGAATTTCATTGCATAGCATTGGTACCCCTGCAAGTTTTATCTTTTAAAAATGATTTTTAAAAGTAGCATATTCGCCCTGGCCGGTATGTCTCAGCGGTAAGAGCATTGCCTGCAGACCAACGAGTCCGCATTCGATTCTGGCCGAGGACATGTACCTCAGTTGTGATTTGTCCCTGGCCCTGGTTGTGGTTGTGCGGGTGGCAACCAATTGATGTGTCTTTCTCACATCAATGTTCCCTCTCTCTCTCTCTTCTTCCCTCTCTCCCTCCAGCTCTATCTGAAGATTAATGTAAAAATATCCTTGGGTGAGGATTAAAAAAAGACAAAAAAGTAACATATTCAGCCTTGGCTGGTTTGGCTCAGCGGTTACAGTTTTAGAGCGTCGGCCCAGGGACCAATGAGTCGTGGGTTCAATTCCGGTCAAGGGCATGTACCTTGGTGGTGTTTGTTCCTGGCCCTGGTTTGGTTGTGCGTGAGGCAACCAGTTGATGTGGCTGTATCATGTCAAAGTTTCTCTCTGTCTCTTCCTCCCTCCCTCTCACTCTATCTGATAATAAGTAGAAAAGAAAAAGATCCTTAGGTGAGGAATTTTTTTTAAAAAAGCATATTCACAGGGTAAGAATCTCAAGCCACAGAGAAGCCTGACTGCACAATGAACGTGGGTCATCCATGCACAAGATTCACAGCCTTTACTGTCCCATGTTTCCTGTGCTGAGGCTGCTTTCCTGTGCTCCCTCTCTCTTCCCCCTGCCTTTGTATCTGCCTCCCGCTCCCCCAGGAGGCCAGGGTTTCTGAGACAGGCTCTTCCTTCCCTTATTTATTGCTATGTAACAAATTACACCAGATAGTAGTTGGAAATAACATTCTGATTTCTGTGGATCAGAAATTCGAGAGCAGCTTGGCAGGGAGGCTCTGGGGTCCTCTGGAGTCTCTCTCATATGTGGGCTGGGGGCTCACTGTTGGGAATTTTAGGGAAAACAGGAAACCCAATAAAGCTAGTTATCCTTAAAAATGTATCCACATTGTTTCAGGGGTTGTGACAATGTATCACATCAGCAAAGGTGTTAACCACAAATGAGGGATACACTGGAAGTATAATATCTTTGTAACTTTTTTATAAATCAACTCTGATATCAACTTAATTTAAATATAAAAATCCAACTGCCATAGCATGGCCATTTGTGGGAACTCCAGAGAAAGGGCATTTGTGCATTCACCAGAATTTCAGAGTCCTGTCAGACTGGCCACCTTTTTCTTTTTATTATTATTATTAAAAAATTTTAAGAGAAACAAAAATTGATGTATTGTTCCATGTATTTATGCATTCATTAGTTGAATGTTGTATGTGCCCTGACCAGGGATCAAACCCAGCAACCTTGGTGTGTCACGATGATGCTCTAACCGAATGAGCTACTTGTTCAGGGTTTGGCCACCCATTTCATCTGCACTTTCCCTCCTGTGTGTCACCCGTTTAGCAGCAGGATTGGCTTGATGCTCACCCCATGCCTCTCATTCCCAAGAGACCTTGAGCTTCCTAAGAACAAAGACCAGGCCTTGCTTTGCTCAGCACCAGCACAGAGTAGGGCATGGTCCTGCTAGGAGGCCAGCTCTGTCACTCAGTTGCCTTTGCCTGTGATTAGGAGTGTTCGTGAAAGGGACGGGAGAGAATACTAGAATAATAGAAAACTAATCATAATAGGGTGCTGGCCATAGTTACAAGAAATTTTGGAGAGTGGGGGCTGGTGGATGGGTGAAAAAGATGAAGGAATTAAGAAGTGCAAATTGGCCCTGGCCGGTTTGGCTCAGCGGTTAGAGCGTCGGCCTGCGGTCCTGAGAGACCAGGGTTCGGTTCCCGCTAAGGGCATGTACCTCGGTTGCAGTTTGTCCCCGGCCCTGGTTGGTTGTGCGGGTGGCAGCCACTTGATGTGTCCCTTTCACATCGATGTTTCTCTCTCTCTCCCTCCCACTCTACCTGAACAAAAAATGAAAAAGTGTCCTCAGGTGAGGATAAAAAAAAAAAAAAAGAAGTGCAAATTGGTTGTTAGACTGATGAACCTCAAGAGAGGAGGGAGGATGGGATGAGACAAACCAAAGAGCTTGTATGCATATATGCATAAACAATGGACACTGACAATAGTGTGAGGAAGGCTGGAGGGGGGTGGTATCAGGGAGGAGGGGTTAATGGTGAAAAAGGGGGGACATCTGTAATAGATTCACAAATAAAGATGAGTTTTTAAAAAAAGAAATTTTGAACATCCTTGCTCTGTTAACTGTGATTGCTTTATTCTGATTAAAGAAAATCCATTCTGACCTGGCTGGGAGCTATATACCCATGGAGTTCTCCACCCTCGAAGTTCTCCGAAATTCCTTACCTGAGAACTGCCCCCCCCTATCCCCCCCTCCCCCCCCCCCCCATTATGGAGAGACTAACAACCTTGGAGTATTGGAGAAAATGCACTGGAGACAGCCCACATTCCCCAGCTCCCATTACTTCTCCATGTCTGTAATCTGTAACTGTGTTACCCATTCATATTCCCTTTTGCCTACTTCCCTATGTAATACCCAGTATAAGCCACCAGCTATGCAGGGAGGAGAGAGCAGATTTTTGCAGAATGACCTGACTCCTCTCCCACAATGCCCGCAATATGGGAATAAATGCTCATATATGATTCAACCTTGTCTCTGCTTAATTAGCTTAGACAGGCAGCCCAGATCCATTGTTGTCTGGTTTCATTCAAGTTTTACAATTACCACTAGTTCTAATGCTACCACTTAGAAAAAACGAGTTACCCTAGCCTTTGTAGCCAGTTGGTTGGGCATGGTCTTCTGCACCAAAAGGTTGGGGTTGTCAGGGCACATGTGGGCCTCGCTAAGGGGCGTGCAGGAGGCAGCCAATCCATGTTTCAATCTCACATCATGTTTCTCTCTCCCTCTCTCTGAAAATCAGTAAAAATATTTAAAAACATAAAACCTAATCATTGCTTTAAAAAATATCGGGTAGATGAAAGGGGACGTTTAGGCTGGAATCATCGTCTTGGAGATGGGGGCAAGGGGTTTTGAGTTCAGGGTTTGAGTTCCTTGCTCTGTCTGTTCCACGTTGGCATGAGTGGCAGCCCGGCTCTACATCTGCAGAATGAGAACACCTTCTGGTGAAGGGAAAAACTGCAGTAGCCGTGAGGAAGGGATAAAGATGCTCAGCGGGGGCACTGAAAAGCTTGTCAAAACCCAGGATCAAACCAGGAACCAGGAACTCTGCAGTGCAGCGCTTTTCCAACTGAGCCTATCTGGGTGAGTGGCAGGTAACCCTATCATCAGCATTTCACGCCTTTCCACAGTGCAAGCATTATTTCGCCCGCGCTTACCGACCGCGCATGCCTGGTAGGGCCGAGTCTGGAGGTGAGGCGCAGCTCGGTCTCTGTGGCGCAATCGGTTAGCGCGTTCGGCTGTTAACCGAAAGGTTGGTGGTTCGAGCCCACCCAGGGACGCAACTTTACTTTTGCTCCTCGGTAAGGAAAAAATGGTGAAGCTCTTGCTCTTTTAGAGATGGATTCCCCTGTCCTTGTATCCCTCGTGGGGCGTCGGGAGCGCACGGCCTGTGGGACATCCACGGAGTCGGAACATTCCGAGCCTGGGTTGCATTTTCCCGCAGCAGCCGAACCACTTTGGGCGACGGCCCCGAAGACTCGGAGCGCTAAAGCAGACGGACTGCAGAGGTTATCTGAAGGCCGAGGCCAAGATGGCGGCGCGGGCAGGTGAGCGCGTCTGGGCGCCAGGGTCAGGGCCCCCTCGGGGGAACTGAGGCCCGGGTAATGACGCAGGCCCCCCAGCCTCGGGAAGGCTTTGGGGCACGGCCCGGAGGGGGCCAAGACTCGGCCCGGGGTGCTGTGCTGGAAGTTCCGGAGAGAGAGGTGACGTGTAGATTGCAGACCCTACTGGCGAGGAAACTGAGGCCGGGAGGGGTGCCGGAACTCCCCGGGAAGGTGACATCACTCGCACAGCAGACGTCCCAACCTGGCCCACTCCCGGGACTTTTGCCCTGAGATTAGTAATTAAATACATAGGATGAAATCCACGGGGTTGCAAAGAAAAGCAGTTACCCCGAGACTACCAGGATTTTATCTTGAAACCGGATTGACGAGTTCCTCATTCAGGGTGTTTGGTTATTAATTCCCGAATTCCATTGACAGGTTCGATTGCTATGGTTTTGAGGGGTGGGTGGAAATGTCTGCAGCCCTTGTGACACCGTTTGGAAATATCCGTGAATCCTGTTGGTGAAAACCACGAGTCCTGCTAATACAGGTCTTGTGGTTTATTGGCAGCACTCAGAATTGAAAGAAAGGCCAACTTTCAGTAAGACAGTGACAAAAAGGGTATATTTCTTTCCCATGTAAGTTCATGGGTCTACTGATCTGTTAAGGGCATTTACTGGGCTGTGAGCTTATACAAAGCCCTAAATTTTCAAGTGGGGAAACTGAGGCTCGGAGAAGGACAGCTCAAACAGGAGTCTGGGGCTGGGCAGTTAGCCTGTCTTCCGTGCTGGTATCTGTGGGTTTATTTATTCAGCACACACTCATCACACACAGCTAAGGCCAAGGGGACACTGGGGAACCCCAGGAGGCCCTAGCATTGATGAAGAGGCAGGCACCACATAAATATGCATAAGTGATGATAGAACGGTGTGACAAGATTGAGAAGGCCTGGGGGGCTGCTGTAGACCCAGGTAGAGCTGAAACCTGTCCAATGAGAAGGGCTGGCTGTGTACACATGTCGGGTAGGGTGTTCCAGGCAGACAGAACAGCATATTCGAAGGTACAGAGGAAGGAGCAACCCTGACATATGAGGAAGGGAAGGTGGCCCTGGTGTAAGCAGTGGAGTGATGCTATATGGTTCATATTCTGAGATCAGACGAGATCGGGCGCGTTCAGGGTGGTATGGCCGTAGACTATGGTTCATATTCTGAAAGACCCCACTTTACCAAACATTAGTTACCATAGAATTTAGATAGACTGAGGGTAGAGAGAGGGTGTGCCAGGCAGGAGGCCCGATGGGCAAAGACCTTGCTGACTCAGGCACCTGAGTTTATGGCCTCTGGTGCTGTCCAAAACTCACTGCCTTGCACCCTGTGGTTCTCTCAGCAGCTCCCAGCCTGGTTCGCCCGATCCTCGCTCTGTGGTGAGTGCCCTAGCCTCTGGCATGGTCCCCATCCAGAGGCCTTTGAAGGGAGGGCTCATACTGGGAGTGGGGAATGGGATCAGAGTACCTCAGAGCTAGTAGGGGCTTGAGCAACTACAGACAGAGTCCTGCCTGCTTAAAGTCAACGGTGAGTCAGGGGCAGTGCCAGGACTGACAGTCTACTCTCCAGCAGGTGGTATGCAGGCTCCTCAGTGGCAACTCTCCACATTCAGACCCTTGCCCATGTGCCCTCAGGACTTACTCATTACTTGTTGCAGAAAAGCAATTGGTGCGTTTGCTCAGATGGAAGCCCCATGCAGGCCTCCTCGGGACAGGAAGGCAGGTGGCCACTGGAGCCTCTTCGATGACAGAACCTGGAAATCAAACCCTCAGGATTCTGGGACCAGGAACATGGCAGATCTAAGGAGAGGGTTTTCCTAATAGAGGGAAACTGGGGGACTTTGAGTGGGCATGGATTTGGACTGAGTGTGCTTTATTGAAGTCTTCTTCCTAGGGATAAAATATATATTCACTATAAAACAAAGGGAAAATGAAAAAAGTGTAAAATGAAAAACAGGCACATTATAGCCTAGGGGTCAGCAGACTTTCTCCCTGAAGGACTAGATGGTAAATGTTTTGGGCTGTGCAATCCAGATGGTCTCTGTAGAGACTACTCAACTATGCCTTCGTGAAAACAGCTGCAGACAGCACAGGAACAGATTGGTGTGGCTGTGTGTAAATAAAATTTTATTTACAAAAATAGGTGGAGGGCGGGGTTTGGCCCTTGGCTGTAGTTTCCCCATCCCTGCTCTAGGCTAGCCCCTGTAACAGTATCTCAGGGTGTCCCAGGCTTTTCTTCCTGTTTGCTCTGTCTCTCTGCAGCTCTGGCAGGGGTGCAGTTGTTCAGGTGCGATGTGTTCATTCGAGTTTGACTGCTGACGGCCCAAGCAGGTGAGGCCACCCTTCACAGTAGTCTGAACACCCTGAAGCACCTCCCCTCCCCCAGCATAGTAGCAATGGAGAGGACTCCAGGGCCCTCCCACATCCTGCAGAGCAAGGTGGTCCCGGCCTTCGGAGCCCTGCCCAGCTTCCTCCTGCACATCCAGTCCAGTGGCTATATGTCCCCAAACCAGAAGGGCCTTTGCTGAAGAGTGTCTCAGATGGGGAAACTGAGTTCCCAAGAAGACAGGGTCCTCTTGGGGCCACAGCAAGGCAGGCTGAGGCACATCATACCATCTTTCATTCTTTTGTTCAGCAGACCCAGACTTGGGTGCTGGGATGCTGCAGTCCTAGGGTAATTCCCAGCCCTATGGCTCCTCCCAGCACTGCCCTCAGGACCAGCAGTAATCACAGCCTTGTCCAGTTCTCTGAGAGGCTGCTCTGTGTTAGGCCCCAGGGTAGAGGCTGTGGGGGCACTCATCTCCTGGGATTCCTCCTTGGCTTACACCTCCCTATGCCATGTCCCATGCCCAGCACACAGCCTGCAGTGTCCAAGGCCGGAGCCATAGTCCCCAAACCCAGCTCACTTCCTAGCAGCCGGGGCGAATATGTGGTAGCCAAGCTGGATGACCTCATCAATTGGGCCCGCCGGGTGAGTCCCCAACCCTCCTCCATCCCTCCAGCCTCTGTTGCATGCTTGCACGCCATGCACATGGGCCGCGCACACCTGCCCCTGTGATGCAGGGAGCCTGCTGGACTCTCCCAGAGGCTCGTGATTAAGTCAGGATTCATGCTCCACACTCCCACCCCACCAGCTTCTGGCCCTGACATCCCCTTAGTGTTTCAGTCCCACCTTCTCGTCTCTCCCTCAGCCCTTAGTGAAGATGGCCCACCTCCCTTCTGTAGTTCTGTTTTCTGTTCATACTTCTTTTTTTTCTTAATTTAAAAGTAACATTTTTAACTAGAAAAGTAATGTGTGCTAAAAACAATAACTTCTTCCTGACAAAAATTTGAAAAGTCTGCTCTGCCCCTAGCATCAGCCATGAAACAGTTTTTGTCTCGTATCCACTCCCTTAAGTCGGGTACATGGCATGTCTCCCACTGGACACGTGTCTTGTCTCCCAAGACAGAGGCTCCTTTCAGTGCCCAAGGGGTGCTGGGCCCAGACAGGCCACATTAATAATCCTGCATTGATGGCTGTGTGCTAGCTAGGTCTTTTGTGTGTCTTTGTGTCACACACAGTGCCACAGCAAACACCCTACCAGGGCCTCCAGCTCCAGGACAGAGATGTCTACTGCAGCCTTATTTATGACTGTGAATACCCAGAGACAAGGTCAGGGTCAGCCAGCTCAGGTGCCAGTCAGTCAGGTGGCCCAGCCATATTGGGCAACCCTTATGCTGTCACCAGCACTAGCACATCAGTGGGGGCCACTTCCTGGTTCCAGATCAGATGCACGCATAGGGGCAGAAGAAGATCTGGCCAGGAGCACAGTTGTGGGGAAATCAGGCTCTGGATATAGGAGTCAGAGGGCGGCCAAGGCCATTCAGTAGAGCATCCTGGAGGAATCGACATTCAGAGTTCTTAGACACTAGGAACTGTCGAGAACAAGATCCTCAGGGTTAGACGTATTCCACATGTGGCTGCCAGGCAGTTGGAGCAGCTAGTGCCCATGTTACAAGGATGGGGTTTAGGATGTACTAGGTTACATCAATGGTATTATTAAAACTAATTTTACTGCCCGGCCAGTGTGGCTCAGTGGTTGAGCATCGACCCATGTACCAAGAGGTAGTCGGTTTGATTCCTGGTCAGGGCACATGCCCAGGTTGTGGGCCAGATCCCCATTGGGGAGCATGCAGAAGGTGGCCAGTCGATGTTCTCTTCATTGATGTTTCTAGCTCTCTTTCCCTCTCCCTTCGTCTCTCTCAAATCAATAAAGAAAAACAAAATTTAAAGAAAAGTCCCACTGGTGTGGCTCAGTGGTTGAGCATCGACCCATGTACCAAGAGATTGTCAGTTTGATTCCCGGTCAGGACACACGCCCAGGTTGTGGGCCCAGTCCCCAGTGGGAAGTATGCAGGAGGTGGCCACTTGATGTTGTCTCTCATCGATGTTTCTGTTTCTCTCCCTCTTACTTCCTCTCTCTCTAAAATCAATAAAGGAAAAAAAAATTAAAAACAAAAAAACAAATTTTACCTTTTTTTGTTTTGTTGATTTTTTTTTGAGGAAGGGAGAGGGAGAGAGAGAACAGTGATGGGAGAGCAGAATATCTTCAGCTGCCTCCTGCATGCTACCTGCTGGGGATCTAGCCTGAAATTGGGACATGTGTTCTAACCTGGAATCAAACTAGCAACCTTTTGTTGCAAGAGATGATACCCAAATTGGCCAGGGCACTTTTTTTTTTTTTGGTAATGTGGCTACTGGCAAGTGTTGATCCACAGGCCTAGCTCACTTTACCTTCCCATTGGGCAGTTCTGGGCTGGGGCAGCAAACTCAGGCTGGGTCTGAGGGGCCTGGAGGTCAAGCGGTTGCTATACAGGAAGGGGGTGGAGAATCCGATGTGTTCTTCTTCAAGAAAGGCTAGAGATCTAGGTTTTTCTATGTGAAATCACCCAGTTTCTTTAAACATGATGGGCCAACTATCTACTTACGGGTTGACCACCCCGGCCTCCATAGAGCTCCCTGTGGCCTATGACCTTTGGCCTGGCCTGCTGTGCCGTGGAGATGATGCACATGGCAGCACCCCGCTACGACATGGACCGCTTTGGTGTAGTCTTCCGAGCCAGCCCGCGCCAGTCAGATGTCATGATTGTGGCCGGCACGCTCACCAACAAGATGGCCCCTGCACTCCGCAAGGTAGGCCTGGCCCTGGACACCACCCATCTACTGCCCAGGCTTGAGCTGCACATAGACCCTGTCATCTCTTCCAGGTCTATGACCAGATGCCAGAGCCTCGATATGTCGTGTCCATGGGGAGGTAAGTACCAGGTGGGGCTGGGGACTATGAGCTGTCTTCAGTGACAACACTTACCTGTGACACACTATCATGTTTCCCTCCACTGTTTTATCTGGGCTTCTCTCTGGTCAAGGTCATGGAGGTATAATTTACAGTCAGTAAAATCCCACACCTGCAGGGAACAGGATAGTGACTCTGATGCTTCTACTGTGTACACTGTCCCCTCCCCAGAATGTCCCCTCTTGTGGTTATTATTGGTCCCCCACTCCAACAGACCATCTGATTTATGAACATATAAGTGATGTCCCCCTTCCCTCTCTGTAGACAGTTTATATTCTCCTTGCCTTTTTTTTTTTTTTTTAATCCTCACCGGAGGACATTATTGCATTTATCTTCAGATAGAGTGGGAGGGAGAGAGGGAGGAAGAAAGAGAGAGAAACATTGATGTAAGAGAGACACATCGAGTGGCCACCACCCACGCGACCTCAACCGGGGCCAGGGACAAACCGCAACAGAGATATGTGCCCTTACGGGAACCGAACCCGAGACTCTGGTCCGCAGGCCAATGCTCTAACCACTGAGAAAACTGGTCAGGGCTCTCCTTGCCTTTTTAGTTCTTCATTTTTTAATTCTCACCTGAGGACATTTTTTGATATTTTGTTCAGATAGAGTGGGAGGGAGAGAGAGAGAGAGAAACATCAACGTGAAAGGGACACATTGAGTGGTTGCCACCCACACAACCCAACCAGGGCTGGGGACAAACTGCAGCTGAGGGATGTGTCCCCAGTGGGAACTGAACCCGGGTCTCTCCAGACCGCAGGCCAACGCTCTAACTGCCGAGCCAAACAGGTCGGGGCTCTCCTTGCCTTTTTAATGCGTACTCATTTCCCACATTGTTAAAAGCTGCTTTGTTGCGATAGAATTCACAAAGCAGGAAGTTCCCCCTTTTATTTATTTATTTTTGTTAATTCTCACTCGAGGATATTTTTTCCACTGACTTTTTTTTTTTTGGAGAGAGTGGAAGGGAGGGAAGGCGGGGGAGAGATACACATCGATTGATTGCTTCTTGCATGCACCCCAACCGGGACTGGGGATTAAACTTGCAACCCAGGTACATGCCCTTGACCAGGAATCAAACCAAGACCCTTCAGTCCCCGGGCCAACTCTCTAACCACTGAGAAAATCAGTCATGGCAAAAGTTCCCCCTTTTTTTTTTAACCTTTTTTTCCCCTTCTTCTTTATTGATTTTTAGAGAGAGAGGAAGGGAGAGGGAGGGAGAGGTAGAAACATCGAGAGAGAGAGAACATCGATTGGCTGCCTCCTGCATGCCCCCCACTGGGGATCAGGCCCACAGCCTGGGCATGTGCCCTGACCAGGAATCAAACCGACGACCTCTTGATACATAGGTCAACACTCAACCACAGAGCACACGGGCTGGGCGAAAAAGTTTCCCCTTTTAAACTGTGCAATTCAGCGGCCTTCAGTGTGTTCATAATGTGTAAAAACATCCCATCTGTCTAGTTTCAAATCATTTTTATTACCCCAACAGTAATCCCCCCCACCTCTTCCCCAGCCCCTGGCAACCATGAACCTATTTCCTGTCCTGTGCCTGTTCTGGACATTTCACATAAATGGAATCACATACTTTTGTGTCTGGCCTCTCACTGAGCATCATGTTTTCAGTGTCCATCCATTTGCTTCTGCTCTACCTGGCTCCGGTGACTGTTGTCTTTCCTGTGACTTCATATTCCCATTTTTGCCCTTTTTGGTAGCCTAGGCACCTGCTTACAGTTGCAGGCAGGTGTGGGTTAGCAGGGCCCCAAGGAGGGAGCAAGGTCAGGGTGGCCAGAGAGGCCCTCATAGCACTCCTCCCACTCCAGCTGCGCCAATGGAGGAGGTTACTACCACTACTCATACTCCGTCGTGAGGGGCTGTGACCGCATCGTGCCTGTGGACATCTACGTCCCAGGTAAGTCCACTGCCATGTCTCTAGGCAACCAGACTTTCAGGTCCCCACAAAGGAGTCTCCATACCCTCGCAGACACAGTGGGCTCTCCCTGTTTTAACAATGAGTAGATTTGGGTCAAAGAAGGGTGACACCCTGGTCTTTCCTTTTGTTGTCCCGTCATGGGCTCCCCAATATCATCCAGTTGTTGGGCCAGGCCAACATCAGGAGAGTTAGGTTGAGCCATACGGAATTGCTGATATTTGGCCATTTTTAAGCTACAGTTGTATATGAGTCCACCTAATAGAAACAAAATCAAATAAATGCAATTAAAAAAACAAAAAAGTTCCTGGAGGACATGAACAGTGTCCAAGAGGTCTCGTCCTCATGATGGGTGGTGAGATACTACCACCCTGGGACCCAGGATCACCAGGATGTTCAGGTTCGGCAGATAAAAATTCAAGGCACCCAATTAAATTTGAATGTCTGAAAAAAAATATTTTTTTCATTATAAATATGTCCCATAGTATCTGGGATATACTTATACTAAAAAAAGTATCAGGAATTTGTCTGAAGTTTATATATATAACTGGGTTATCTTGATTTTATCTGGCTACCATGAAGAACTTCCAAGCCTGCTCACCTGGCCAATTAGGGGTGGCCTCCTGGGCATGTGCTGGCACCTCCCAAAGGCAGAGAAACAGGTTTTCACATTGGATTAGAGCTCATTGGAAAATGGAGTTGATTTGTTTAACATTCTGCAAATATTTATTGAGTGTATTTTCCAGGCCTGGTCCTGGCTTGGGCAGAACAGGGCCCTAGAGAGGCCTCAGCACTGGGCCAGGCCCTGGGGAGTCCCCAGGTTGGGGGAGATGGAGCCTGATACAGACGTGCCCAGCCCTGCCTATTGGATGGCAGAAGGCACGGTGGGTGGGACGTTGAAAGATTCATAGGAGTCTACCCTGCAGGCTTGTTAACCTTGACCCAGGAGCCAGACCCTTGGTTAGTTACTATTTGTTTGACATATAACATCTGGCAAATCTCTCCGAGCCTCAGTTTCCCCATCCATCAAATAGGCCATTGTGATCATACTATGTGGCACAGGGCACCCCAGAGTCAGCTGGAAGTAAATAACTGTGACTGTTCCTTATCCAGCCACCTGTGGTGGCAGGCCTGTCAGGTTCTGACACATCTTCCAGGTGGCAATGTGTCCCTCTGCTGCTTCCACCAGAGAAGTCGGGGATGAGGACTGTGAGGACTGTTTCTTTGGGGATTCCCTTCTCAGTCTGTGGGCCTCCCTGCCCACCTTGCTGGCTACTTCTATGGGCCAAACTACGCAGTCCCTTCCATGAATTTATTGGATGCTGGGGTGGGGGCCTATCTCAGCCCTCCCCTCCCTGGGATGTGGCCAGGATGTGGCCAACCAGCTCTTAGCCCACCTTGCAGCTCTCAGGTTACTCTTTTCAGGGCCCTGGGTGGCCCAGGCCTTTCCTGCTCCGTGCGGCCTGTAGTTGCTGCCCAAAGTCAGACCCTTTGACCTTCCTTCTGGTTCACATGTTCTTTGTCAGGCAGCAGGGAGAGGGCTAATGCCCCAGCAGGGCCCAGAATCTAGTCACTGGTCAAAGGCTGAGCCAGGGCTGTGGGCCTGCTTTCATGGGCAGACACTGAGGCAAGTTCCCACCCCCAGGCTGCCCACCCACAGCTGAAGCCCTGCTCTATGGCATCCTGCAGCTGCAGAAGAAGATCAAGCGGGAGAAGAGACTCAGCATCTGGTACCGAAGGTAGTGCCTCCTGACTACCACTCTATGTCCTCTTCATCATCCTGAGAAATGGTCAATAAACCCAAGAAACGCACCTGGATGGAAGCCTGCCCTCATGGTGTATGGGCAGGGGACCCTGGGAGGTAGGGAGGTACCCACAGGGCAGAGAGCACCCCCTGTGCTGGGTGTGGGTGGGCAAGTGCTGCCTGGGGCAGGGTCAGTTCTTAGAGATGTTGAGGTCCTAGAGGCAGATGGCTAAGTCTATACCAGACCCTCTTCTTTTTTTCAAACAGATTTTTTTTTTCTTTCATTTATCTTCAGATAGAATGGGAGGGAGGGGGAGAGAGAGAGACACACACACATCCACTGGTTGCTTCCTGCACGACCGGGGACTGAACTGCAACTGAGGTATGTGCCCTTGACCAGAATAGAACTTGCGACAGAATAGATCTTGCGGCCAACACTCTAACCACTGAGCAAAACTGGCCAGGGCTCATTTTCTTTTTGGAGAGACAGAGGAATAAGTGAGAGTGCACTTTTGCATTGTGCTGCTGATTGGCCCAGTGTTAGCATTTATTTCATCCCCATGACCCCAGAAGGCTGGTACTGATCCCCTTGAAGATGTTAGGGAAGATGGCTGGGGTCACAAAGTTGGTGCTGCCTCAACTAGAAGCTGGGCTGTGAGGTCAGAGCCTGAGCTCCCAGCCACAAAGGCACTGGGCTGGGGGGGGTGGTGCATAGGTGGCTGAGCCTGTGTCTGCCAGACTTAGTGCTTGGTGACCAGGGGTGTGATCATCTGCGGGAAGGCATAGTATCGGCAGTCGGCAGGTGGGACCAGTTCCATCACTTGTGTGTGGATGTTCTCCCGCCGGAAGCCCGACTCTAGCAGTGCTGGTACCTGCGTCTCCTGTGACAGGGCGGTGCCAGGTTATGTCCAGGCTCTGGGGCCTTATGATACACACACACCCAGTATCTACCCTTACTTGCACAGCATTGCCAGTGCCAAGGCATCCAGGGGCTGCAGAAGTCCCCACCCTAGGCCCAACTGCTGAGAAAACATCGAAGCCCAGGTTTGAGTGGTGATCTCCGGGTGTCTAAACTCAGGCAGCAACTTTCTGGCTATCACAGGCTATCACCAGGCTGCCCAACTGCTCCTTGAAGGCAGAGGGAAGAGCTTGGTTAAAGGTCCTGATAATATATAAGTGTGGCTGAACCAGGAGGTGCACCTAGAATGGAGGAGGGCCAAATAGGAGTATGGGGCCTGTCAGCCAGGTGGGCAGCTTGGGCTGAGTTCCTGAGGCCCAAGGGCACTGAGGAGGGACCTTGCCTGATTGTCACACAGAGCCCACAATCCACCTAAGGAAGCAAGGGACCCAAAGTGACTGCAGCCGCCTCCCCAACCTGTCTGGGGAGGGGAGCCCCCCCAGGTAGCTCAACTACTGCACCTCGAACATAGTGTTGATGTTGGAGTATTTGGACTTCATCAATTCCCCCCAGGAAGTGAGGTTGCAGTAGGTGAGGACGCCCCCTGGCTTCAGCAGGCGAAAAGCGTGGCCCTGGGAGGGAGACAGGTCAGGAGAGAAATTAGAAACATGTGGAAGAATGGGTGCCCACCTGTGTGTGGATGGCAGACACCCCCACCCGGCTGAACTCCCATACTAGGGGCTATAGACCCATCCCTCTGCAAAGTCCTACCTTGATGAAGTTGAACTGGTGCGTGTGCCAGGTTTCCTCGGACAGTGGATACGTGTCATACAGGATCCCTGCATGGGAAGACAGAAGCCACATGGTCAGGGGCAATCACACCAGGATGGTAGCTATACATGAAGGTGGAATTTGAACATGGCCCAGGAACTCCAGTAGCTATGGTGCCACCTCCTCTGGGTATCATGTGCAATTCAGTTCCCTTAGATATCACAACACCTGCTGAGTGCCAGACCTCGTGTGTGCCCCCTGCCCAGACTCTGTTGTCCCAGTGACATGTCAGCACATGTGTTCTTCAGAAGGTCCCTGAGCAAGTGAGATTTGGGCAGAGGTTCCCCCTCACCCAGTACCCAGAGCCCCCTCACCGTCAAAGTGACCATCTGGCAGAGTGGGTGCTACCTCTTCCCACAGGCCTTTCAAGGGAACCACCTTGGAGCAGGGGAGAAAAAAAAAGGCTGAGGGTCAGAGGGGTCCCCAGGAATTCTCCAGTGTAAGAAGAGGGGCAGAGGAACTCCCAAGGGAGGATACTCCCCCCCCCCTCCCATGCCTGAGACTGCCCCAGGAGTAAGGGGTGGGGGGTGGCCTGCAGGCAGAAGTGGCACCTTGTGTGGCTGCTGCTGAGCCCAGTCCTGAAGCCGCTGGAAGACTCGGTCATTGCACTCAATGATCCAGTGCTCATCGATGGTGGCTTCCTGCACCTTGGTTGCTGCGATGGCCATGCCGAAACCCACCTCTAGGACCCGGCCCCCTGGACACACAAAAGGCCAGGGCTGGGGAGGCTACCCGGAGGAGGAGGAGGCTCAGGGGTGGCACCTTGGCACAGAGAAACTAGGACAGGAAGGCACATCAGGCATAGGGACACAGTGGCCCTGAGAGGGAACAGCGTGGGCCCTGGCCAGCATCCAAAAGGGGATGGCCTGCCAGGGAGGCGGCAGAGAGGCCTTTGGGCCTGGTCTTTGGGGGGTGGTCAGACCCTGGACTTTGAACCTGGTCTGGCTATGTACACTGGTGGCATGCCACTGGTGCAGCTTATCTCTTGATTACTTGTTTCTCGCCCTCCCACCCTCCCTACCATGAAGCTCACGAGAGAAAGGCAAGGGAGGAACCAGGATTGCAGGCCAGGGCCTGGAACAATAAGGGTGGGGAGTGTGTGTGGGGGGTACCCATTGCACTACAGACGAAGGCCTACAGGCCACATGCCAAGCTTTTGGGAGACCTGAGCACCCCTATGGCTCTGACATCAGAGTGCAGGGTCACCCTGCCACAGCTGTCTCCCAGCCTCAGCTTTTACAGAGCTATTCTTAGCTGGGGCGGGTGGGGTATCAGGGCAGGTACGCTCCCTACATATGCCTGAGCAGCGCCCTCCACCCACCGTCACCCTCTGTGGCCGACCTTAGGAGGGGGGCCGACAGCTGAGTTCCACCCGAGGTCCTGTAGCTGAGGACCCATGGGGGCCGGGGCCTCATTCCCGCCCCCCCCCCCCCGAGGAAGTTCCCAGTACTTAGGGGGCGCCTACTGGGTGCATGTTGCGTGCCTGCAGCACTTCCTTTATTTCCCCGTCGTGCACCCCCCCACCCCCCCCTTCGTTAGCAGCCCCATTCTCTAAGTGAGGAGAGGCTCCGATGCACATCAGCGGGAGAGCAGTCTGGCATCTGGTCGCCCACAGTGGCTACACTCGGACAGGGCACGGAGCTACCTCTGCAGGCGGCGGCGGCAGCCAGCGCGTGCATGTAGGGGGTCTCCCAGCGCTCCATTACTGGCTTGCCCAGGATCTGCAGGTGCGTGTCCGACGCATCATAGGACGCGGGCGCCGTCAGCCATGCGGGCTTGCAGTTCTCTCCAGGAACGAAGATGGGGGTCGCGGCAGGGACGTTCATGCTGCAGACCCACGAGCGCCCCAGGCTCGGCTCCAGATACGAAGGGTTGGTTCCTCCAGAGCCTTCTGGGCCGGGGGTGTGACCCAATCTGGCGGAGGCGCGGCCGAGGGCGTGGCGTGATGAGGGCGGGCCGGAACCCTTGAGAGGACTACGCGATGATTTGAGTGGCCTCTAGCGGCCGCAGAGCAGAAGACGGCCAACGTAGGTCCGAACCTCCGTTGATTACCACTTCTCACTGAACCTCCAGTGACTTATCTTCAAAATAGGCACAGCAGTAGGGAGCCCTCAGGGTCCGTAGCCTCCCCTTTTCACTCTCCTGCCTCAGTTTCCTCATCTGTCACCACTGCAGATAGACCCCCCTTCCTTGTTGGGGTGGGAGGATGTAACGATTTTCCTGGTGCTGTTGGAGGTGCCCTAGGTATTTTATTTTATTCTTTCTTTTTTTTTTTTAATCCTCACCCGAGGACATTTTTCCATTTTTTGTTCAGATAGAGCAGGAGGGAGAGAGAGAGAGAAACATCTACGTGAAGCGACACATCGAGTGGCTGCCACCCGCACGACCAACCAGGGCCGGGGACAAACTGCAACCGAAGCACATGCCCTTAGCGGGAACCGAACCCGGGTCTCTCTGTACCGCAGGCCGACGCTCCAACCGCTGAGCCAAACCGGCCAGGGCTTATTCTTTCTTTATTGATTTATTTTTTATCCTCACTCGAAGACATTTTTGCATTTATCTTCAGATGGAGCGGGAGGGAGAGAAGGAGAAAGAGAGAGAGAAAAACATCAACATGAGAGAGACACATCAAGTGGTTGCCTCCCACACACCCCTACTGGGGTTGAGGATTGAACCTGTAATCCAGGTATGTCCTTGACTGGAAATCAGACCCATAACCCTTAGATCTGAGGACTGACTCTCTAACCACTGAGCAAAACTGTCCAGGGCTGGTTGATTCTTGTTATGTGCCTGACCGGGGATCAAACCCCCAACCTTGGTGTATCAGGATCATGCTCTAATCAACTGAATTACCCAACGATGGCTCAGGCATTCTCTTTTTTGTTTTTATCCTTACCCGAGGATACTTTTACATTAATCTGCAGATATATCTGGAGGGAGAGAGGGAGGAAGAGAGAGAAACATCGATTGGTTGCCACCTGCACAACCCCAACTGGGGCCTGGGACAAACCACAACCAAGGTGCGTGCCCTTGGCCGGAATTGAACCCGGGACTCTTTGGTCCACTGGTGACAATCTTACCACTGAGCCATACCAGCCAGGGCTCAGGCAGTCTCTTAAACAGTTGTCGAGTTTGGTCACTTCCCTGCACCTCTGTGTCCATTTCTCATAGCCCTGACGAACTGAACTACAGACTACTTCCCACAATTCCTGCCCACCATCTGCAGAGAGCTCCTGTGTCCCTCCTGTCTCTGGGCCTTTGCACATGCCCTTCCCTTAACCTAGAAAGATTCTCCTTTCTCCTGACTTGGTGTGGGCTTCATGTTAGCCCACATCTCTTCTGGAAGGCCTCCTAAGTACCCCCAGCTGTTTTATCTCCGAGCACTTCTCCTTGACATTTCACTAACTGAAGGTAATTATTTCTTCATGGCTCTATTGTCTGTCTGATGGGCTTGGTGCATTGAAAGTGACTGCTTCATAAATCCTGAGGGCACACTGGGATCTAATGCAGTCTGGATGTGACAGCACTGATTTCACAAGAATCTCAGGATGGGACAGGATGAGTAGATGTCATCAGACACCTGGGTTGGTCTCGAGCTGCTTTTCGCCTTATGTGAGTCCATTCAGTCTGGTTTCCCCACCACCAATGTCACGGGCACCATGATGGACACTTTGTGGGCCTGTATCTCAGCATCCTTGGGCTGTCCAAAGGACATGGCCCAGATGCTCCCTTGTGCATCCTGTGTAAGCAGGTGGCACTTGCTAAATGTCACCCAACTCAGGGGATGCTCTGGAATGCCTGCCTGAGACAAGGGAAGGAGGCTGTATTCCTTAGCCCTTGCTATGTAACAAATCATCCCAAATGTGGCCACTAAAATGAGGCATGTCTATGATCTCAGTTTCTATGGGTCAGGAATCAGGATGGCCCAGCTGGGTCCTCTGCTTCACAATGTCTCACAGGCTACAGTCAAGGTGCTTCAGGTGCTGAGTCCTCATCTGAAGGCTCAGCCAGGGTCACTCACTGGTTGTTGGCAGCATTCAGTTCCTTTTGGGCTGTGGCTCCCGAGCCTCGATTCTTGTCATGTGGGCCTCCCCAGTGTGACAACATGCTTCATCGGAGCCAGCAAGAGAGTCTGTTGGCAACAAGAACTGGTACCTTTTATAAATTCATATGCAACAAACTCCAATAGATGTTAAGTGAAAAGGCAGGGTGGAGGCACAATGTAGAGTGTGCCATGGGCTGTGTGACAGGTGTGTGTGTGTGTGTGTGTGTGTGTGTGTGTATGCTGGAGCATTATCTCACAGAGATTGCCCTGGAAGGACACTCAAAGAGCTGGACATCATGACCAGGGCACTGTGGGGTATTTTCATCTGTGTGCACTTTTCATAGTAGTAAAACACACATAATATAAAATTTACCATCTTGCCCTGATTGGTGTAGCTCACTTGGTTGAGCATCAACCCATGCACCAAGCGGTTGTCAGTTCGATTCCTGGTCAGGACACATGCCCAGTTTTCAGGCTCAATCCCCAGTAGCGGGTATGCATAAGGCAGCCAATCGATGTTTCTCTCTCTCTCAAATTAATAAAAACATTTTTACCATCTTAACCATTGTTAAGTTCATGGCTCAGTAGTATTAAGTACACTCATTGTTGTGCAACCATTGTGACCATCCATTAAACACTAACTCCCCATCCCCCAGCCCAGCCTCTGGCTCCCACTATCTACTTTTTGTCTCTATGAACTTGACTCCTCTATGAGTGGAACCACACAATATTTGTCCTTTTATGTCTGGCTGATGTCACTGAGCATGATGTTCATCCATGTTGTAGCAGGTGTCAGAATGCCCTTCCTTTTCTTTTTATCCTCACCCAAGGACATTTTTTTCATTTTTGTTCAGATAGAGTGGGAGGGGGAGAGAGAGAGAGAGAGAGAGAGAGAGAGAAACATTGACGTGAAAGGGACACGTTGAGTGGCTGCCTCCCGCACGACCCCAACCAGGGCCGGGGACAAACTGCAACCGAGGTACATACCCTTAGCGGGAACCGAACCTGGGTCTCTCAGGACCGCAGGCTGAAGCTCTAACTGCTGAGCCAAACCGGCCAGGGCAGAATGTCCTTCCTTTTAAAGACTGAATAATATTCCAGTTTGTGGATGGACCGTGTTTTGTTTGTCTGTTCATTTGTCCATGGACACAGTAGTTGTTTCTACCTTTGGCTGTTGTTAATTGGCCTGCTGTGAACAGTCATATACAGGTAGGCATCTGTTTGAGTCCCTGCTTTCTTTCTTTTTTAATATATTTTATATTGATTTTAGACAGAGAGGAAGGGAGAGAAAGAAACATCGATGAAAGAGAACAAGGCTGGCCACCTCCTGCATGCCCCCCACTGGGGATCGTGCCCACACCCTGGGCATGTGCCCTGACCGGGAATCGAACCGGCAACCTCCTGTTGCATGGGTCGACACTCAACCACTGACCCACACCAGCTGGGCTGAGTCCCTGCTTTCAGTTCTCTGTATTTGAAAGGAGTGGAGGTGCTGGGTCATATGGAGATTCTATGTTTAATGTTTTGAGCAAACCAGACTTTCTGCTCATGGTTACTCTCCATGCTTCCAATCCAGTCCAGAGGTTCTCAACCCATAGGCTAACTGCATACACCACATTGACTGACATGATAGAGTCCTCATTCCATTGGCTAACTCCATATAACCATGTGACACTCCCCCCCCCACCTTAGCCAATCAGGGCTTTCCATTGGCCTAGTCACAACAATTGATTGAACAAGGACATGTGATTGACTGAGTTTGGGCTAATCAGAACCTTTTCTTGAACTTCTGCTGCCTCTATTTATTTATTTATTTATTTCTCCTCACCCGAGGACATTTTTCCACTTTTTGTTCAGATAGAGTGGGAGAGAGGGAGAGAGAGAGAGAGAGAGAGAGAGAAACATCGACGTGAAAGGGACACATCGAGTGGCTGCCACCCGCACGACCAACCAGGGCCGGGGACAAACTGCAACCAAGGCACGTGCCCTTAGCCAGAACCAAACCTGGGCCTCTCTGGACCGCAGGCCGACGCTCCAACTGCTGAGCCAAACTGGCCAGTGCTCTTTTTTTTTTTTTTTAATATTTTTTTCTCTATTGATTTCAGAGAGGGAAGGGAGCGGGAAAGCAACAGAAACATCGATGAGAGAGAACATTGACTGGCCGTCTCCTGCATGCCCCCCATTAGGGATCAGGCCCACAACCTGGGCGTATGCCCTGACAGGGAATTGAACTGGCAACCTCTTGGTGCATGGGTCGATGCTCAACCACTGAGCCACACCAGCCAGGCTCTGCTGCCTCTCTTGGGGAAGAAGTGCTGACCTGCTGGGACTGTTAAGCTGATGGAGCTGCTGGCACCATCCTAGTCCCTACAAGAAGTGAGACTGGCCCTGATAGGTTTAGCTTAGTGGTTGGAGCATTGGCCTGCGGATCAATGAGTCATGGGTTTGTTTCTGGTCAAGGGCATGCACCTCGGCTGCAGTTCGTCCCCATCCCTGGTCAGGGTCCTGCAGGAGGCAGAGGTTGATGTGTCTCTCTTGCATCGATGTTTCTCTCTCTCTCTCCGTCCCTCCCACTCTATCTAAAGATAAATAGAAAAAAAAAAAAAAAAGTGAGACTATTGAGGAAAAAAAAAACAAGAGAAAGGATGACAGAGCCAAGAGATGGAGAGATGGATAAATCTTTGTGGCACTGTTTGAAGGTCCTGAATCCAGTTGAGCTTGAAACCAGCTTAACCAGGGTGTCTCAACCAGGGACGATTCTAATCCCCAGGGAACACGGAGCAATGTCTGGGGACATTTTCGTTTGTCATGACTGGGGGTTCTCCTGGCACT